GGTTGGTCGATGAAGCTTAACGCGTGATAAGTGTCAGTGAATGTGACAATTTGAATTACTAATCTACTCGGTTAAGCTGCCCTCCTTCCTTAATTGCGAACTCTTTGTTAGAGCCGAAAGGCAAGAATATTTCGTAAGAAATTCATAAACGCCTCATTTCGCCACTTTTTTTTCCTCCCTATCGGTTATTGGAATAGGAATTTTTGCAAAAATTCCTCATTTTGTCGTTTCATATTGTTGAAAGAAAATTGTTTCTAAAAATTGATTCTGCAGGAAATATTTTCTAATGTAAAATATATATTTTCGAAATATTTGATTTTAGATTGTTTGCTATCCGTAATTAATAACTGGAAATTTTATTGCGCGCTTTGTTTTTGGTTATAATTGAAATTTGGTTATAATTTCGAGGTTCATTGTTATTAAAACATCGTCTTCATCTTTATCATCGTTATCACTGTCAATTTTTATCACTTTATTATCATTATCATCGATAAAATTTACGATTTGAAGCACATATTTCGAAGCATATACGAAATTTTTATTTCTCATTGCAATTAATATTTCGTTGAATTAGGCAACGATCTATTTTTCTTCAATGTTTTAAGAATGCTTTGAAAATTTTTTCAAAAAAAAACTAAAATCGGGTAAATTTTTTTTTTAAATTTTTTAAAATTAATTATTATTATTATTATTATTAATTACTTATTATTATTATTGTTGCAATATTAATAATATTTTGAATATTTTCGTCTTCTAAAAGCGTAAATCAGATTTCTGGTTTGTTGCTACATTTCTGCTTCTGCTTTGAATTGCATCGAAGCGTGCCCAATCAATTCACCGTCATATCTAAAATTAATTGGAACCAGTCCTTTTTCCATCCAAATTCAAACCTATAAATTTGCTGGTCCATCGTTATTGTTGGGCCCGTTTAAAATTCTTCTTTGAACGTTATCTTTTATCAAATGATTTAGCATATGGCAAGATATGCGTTTATTTTTTTTGTTTATCAGGATTTTTATAGTTTACACAAAAATAGCCTTTTATTTTATTTTTAATTAGTAAATTTGCAGGTAAATATTTGAAAAACTGCTCAAAACTCAAGGAAATCTATAAATTTCTTTATAATCCACTATTTTCTTAATCTCTCTTATCATTTATCAGTGAATCAATCATTTGACTTGCATTTTTTTTTCTTTTTGGCTGTGTTTTTCGATTATTTCTCGAACGAAGACTTTTTTTAAAAATAAAACAATAAAGAAACGATTGAGTGCGAGAATTATGTTCTATTTCGATGAAGATCATATGGAGAATGGTTTTGGTTAGTTGGTTAATTTTTAAAATAATTTTTATTTTTCATAAATTTATTGTAAAAAAAAAATAAACAACTTTAAGCTTATTTCTCGTCAAATTACTTTCCTCTTCGTTAAATTTACACAACAACAGACTACTTATCAGTACTTATCACTACTTATCATTGCTACTTGAGAAAAAATTTAATAAACTTTGAAATTCTCGAATTTTTTTTTTTTTTGGCGTTTTTTTCGAAATTATTATTTTATCACTGAGATCTAAGCGGTCAGCTATTGAGAAGTTAGCTTTATTACTGTTCTGGAGCAATTTTCGTGCAGAGCGGTCTTATTTTGATTACTAATGGAGAACCAGAAGTAATAAATGCTATTAGATGAGGTGATGGATAGGTAGAAAGGAATGGTCGAGTGGCATAGCATGGCATATTGCATCAATTAAGGACGAATGTCAGTTGGTTGTCAGTTTGTTAGCAAAAATTAACCAAAGCTCTCAAGTCTCTCTTCCATCTATAGACTGCTTATCAGTGCACTACTTCTTATCACCACTTATCATTGCTACTTGGGAAAGAATTTAATAAACTTTGGGATTCTCAAACACAATTCGAAATCATTTGAATATAGAAATATAAATGGATGTAGGATTTTTTACTGGTTTTTTTTGGAGAGATGGGTAGGGGAGAGAGAAAAGGATAGAATAGTTCAGTGAATCGTTGCTCAATACGGAGCGCCAATGTTGAGATTCCACTCCCATCGGGAGTAAACCTATCTAAAAATCCAGTTGGTGCTAGTGACTCACTTGTATTTCTATTACCAAGGGACTCTCTGGTATATTTGTCCAGTACCCAGCGGAGCGAGTTCAACCAGTAGTGATAAGGACTGTTAAAAAAAGTGGTAAGTGCATTTTTTATACGAAGGCAAAAGGTCGAGACTTTGTTGACTGTTGGAACGGCAACAATCGCTGCTTTATCCATCGTTAAAACTTACAACTCCAAAGAATAGAGAACGGAGAGTTAGGTAAGAACAGCAAAGGAACTCGAGCTGCACTAATAGTGCAAGTAGTGGGCAAAATCGAACCAAAAGTGAAAAATGTAGGAAAAGAAATTATATCAATTTATTTGCGGTTGCGTTGGCTTATCCTTTATAAATATTTCGTCATTTAATCGAGGGTGCGCATTTTTAATTTGGTTCGCGCGTTGCATATCGCTTTTTGTGCAACTCGTGCAATAATAATGAATGCATACGAAATAACGCACGGTCATGGGAGAAGCTAAGAAAAATACGTGTCGATGGAGTTTTAATGAGTAAACGAGAGAGCGAAGAGAAAGATAGAAAAAGGTGCAGATGCAGTGACGTAAAATTTATGTTAGAATTAGTAAGAAAAAGATGTCACAGAGAAGAGAGTGAAGATTTGGAGAGGTTTGGAAGATGATGAGAATTTTTTTAAAGAGAACGTAATCGCAGGAGAGTACCGGGAATAAGATTGTTTTTCGATTGGAAGTTTACCGATGTTAGTTTATTTATTGGATGGGAGAGAGGGGAAGGGAGGAAGTAAAAGAGAGATGGGTGGAAGGGAGATGGAATGGGGAAGTTTCTTTTGCGCGATCGCGTAAAAATGGATCGAAGGTTTTCGCTCGCGTTCAAAAAAGCTAGCAAAATCAAATCGGATTATTTGTGGTCGAAGTCTAACATCCATTTTATTAAAAATTTCACAGATCTAAGAAAAATTTTTCTAGAAATTTCTAATATTTGTTTGATAATCCAGTCTGATTTTACTGATAAGAGGACTGATAGAAGGCTTATATTCACGAGTTAACGAGTTTATATTTATCGATGAATCAAATAACTTGTGGGACGGGGTGAGGAGAAGGGGGAAGGATGGAGGGAATAGTCCATTTTATTTTTTAAAAGTTTATCGTTTTTTCTTCCGCTATTTTCCCTTCTTTTTTTTTTAATGTTGCACTGTTTATTTCCTAAGTATTGCGTATAGAGTGTTTACTGGAACCAAATTGACGATTTTAGAGTACCACGTGTTACTTTACGTGTTAGCATACGTCATCATTACGTATAACGATATTTTTACGTGTATGTTTAATATTTGTAAATTATATATTTTCTGTTTAAACAGTAGATATTTTAATAAAGTACATTCGTTTTATTTGAACGGCTTATCAGTGATGCATGGTTTTCCTCCTCATTCTCATCCGTTCTTATCCTCTTCCATTTTCACACTATTTCCTCATCAATAAACGAATCTAATGCCATATCAGATAAGGTAGAAAAGCCGTTCTTATTAATAATAAGCAAAAGCGAACACAAAACTGCATAACCGTCATTTGTTACTAAAACGAAATATACCGCTCCGTTCATTCCTTCAGTTAAAATAAAATTTTTGGGCACTCATTGGACAATTGGGTATCATTTGTGATATATCTCTCTGATTATTTTTTTATCATCAATATTATTGCAGATAAAAAATATGTCGGATTTCAGGAATAATAATGGTAATAACAATAATGATAAAAATAATAATTCATATTAGTGATAACAGTGATAATGATAACAATAATAACAAAAATAAAGGTAAATAGTTGTAGCAATAACGGTAATATTAGTAATTATTAAATAATAAAGATAATTATTACATTATTGCATTATTATTACATTAATTATATAAATAAAATAATTATTAATAATAATTATAAAAATAATCTTTTATTTACTTGTAATTTTTTTAGTTCATTTTTTTCTCCTAAATTTTTGATTAGATTTGATTCGTCGACTTATCGGGCATTGTCGTGAAGTCACTTTGCGATAAATTTACAAGGCGAAATCGCCCGCATTCGATTTGCAATCCAGTTTTTGAAATAAAAATTTATTTTTGCAAGGGATAGAAACGCAGCGTCGACGCTGCGAAATTGGAGCAATAACCCACTGCGCCATCCATCTTCCGAACTGCCTTATTATGAATGTTCTAGAGAATTATACAATTCGCTATGATTGCTTTTTGTAGTGTTTACGAAGATAATGTATTCCTTGTGTATGTCGAAAAGTGTGTGCCGGCGATCGAGTCGGGCAATTGTCAGTCAGTCATATGACGTTGACGACGACGATGGCAAATATTTCCGATAATAATCTTTTGCAATTTTCGTGCAATTCGATTGAAAAAGAAAAATGAAAAAGAGTTAGCAAAAATCGAGTTGATCTATGAATTATTAAGAGGGAATGGTTCGGATTGGGTTTGATTCATTATCATTCAAAATTATCATTTTTATCATTTTTTTTTTGCTTAAACTTTATCGAAAATATAAAATAGATGTTTGAGCGATCGACAAATAGGTGTGTGACAGCGCACTGATTGACAGTTATCTAAACGCGTATGGTATTTGCTATTCCTTGCCAATTAATTATTTTTATTTTATTTAAACAATTGTATTATTAGTGGAAAAAAAACAACGATGCTATTTCACCACATATTTTTTGTTCTCTTCGATACTTTTTTTGTCGTTCAATTTTTCGATGCATCCTTTCATTTCATTTTGTTGTTAAGCTTGTCCAAACATGAATTTGGCCCATCTTTCACTTTCGATTTTATCGCTGTTCTCATTAAAATCAGTGGATTTATTATGATTATTTGTATTGGCAAATTACTACAATTATAAAATAAGAATTAAGCGAAAACAAATGAATAAATAAATGATTGGTATTTATCGGTTCTGATTGAAAGTACCAATTAATAAGTAAGCATTCTTAGCGAATTTTTTTTTTAAGAGTCCTCACCATTACTGGTTAAACTCGCTTCACTGGCTCGTCGCATTGGGCAATCATGCCAGAGAGTTGCTTGGCAAATAGAGATACAGCTGAGCATCACTCGGGTTGATTCCTGCGGGGAATTGAACTTTAGCATCGGCGCTCCGAACTGAGCAACAACCCACTAAGCCAATCTATCTGTTGAGCGAAATACTCGCATATCTATGTTTAGATGTTTTTTTTATCGATATTATTTGCTAAAATATTGCTTATTAGTAAGAAGAATGAGACGTATTAGCTAATATTATCATATATCAAATAATTGCCTCATCGTGATACTTAAAATGATAAAATGATAATGAAGCCATTCGATCATAGTTAGCTGATTAGCTGATAGATTGTGGTAGTCGTATAAAAATGATAAATAAAAGTGGTATTAATCGATCTGATGCATAACTCTTAAAGTTTTCTCCTAAATGACATTTGTGAACTGGTTTTCCGCTCTATATCATTGCAGATTAACTAAATTTAGGTAAATAATAATAACATTGAGAATTAATAATGGCGAACAAATAAGTGAACCTATAATTTTGACCTATTTTAACGATGAAATTTTAGTAAATTCAAGTAAAGATCCATAAATTTAGATTTTTATTAAAAATATAACTTTTATAGAATTTCTAAGTTTTAGTTTTATTAAAAATTATTTGCAACAAATTACCACCTAAGACTCATAAATCTTTAATGACAAAGTAAAAAAAAAATTAAATTTTTTATAGTTTAAAAAAAAAGAAATGCACTAATTACAGCGATAATTATAGCGATAAATAAATTATAAAAATATTTTGCAAAAAAAATATTTTGTAAAAAAAAAGTCATTCTTAACCTTAGTCAGAGACCTGGAAGATTGAGGATTCTACTTGCTACATTAAGTGTTTCTAGTGCACTCTTCGGTGCAAAGGTCTCTGACTCAGTACTCTCAGTTTCTCAGATTTCTGGTAGAAGACCTGAGGTTGAGGGTAATCCTTACCGCCCATAAGCGATGAGAAAGGAATTCCTTTTTTATTATGTAAAATTATATTAATTATATACAACTCTATTCTATTTAATTATATTCAGAATCATATTAATTTTTATTAATTTATATTTATACAAATATAATTCGTTTACTTATTGTGTTTACATTGAATAAAATCAGTTGATTGGTTGCGATTGCATTGCGCTGAATTTTCAAAGTTATTTCCACATACGCCCGATAATGATTGATTTGATGAGAAATAGCGTTGTTTGGAAAATTCAAATTTTTGATAAATTTGGTAAATTTAAATGTATTTAAATAATTTTTTCGAATTTCAATTCGTGTCATTAATAATCAAATTATTTTGAAAAAGAAATTTTTTTTTTTGCAGACGCACCGGATATTTCGGATAGCGAAGACCAAATCTTTAAGGGCGAACATCATCGAATTGGTGGTTTCGGTCTGGAGTTAGGGTCGTCGTTAAGTAAGCGGCCGCCCAACAAGGGTGCCGAATGGCCGTATAATTCGGGTTTGTTTTCGTTATACAAGTTCTTTTTTTTGTAGCGAAATTTCGTGAAATCATAACGAAATTAGTTGCTATTATACTAAATTTTTTAAAGAAAAATTAAGAGAATATAAAAAATAACAAATTGCTGAAGAATGAGTGAATTTTGTTAAATATTGGAGATAAATAAAAGTAAGGATTTCTTAGATTTTGTTTAAAAAAAAAAAAAAAAAAACGAGCTATTTTAACGTTAAAATTTTGGCTTTGGCTTTTTTTGGTATAACAATTGGCATTTAACGTCTTTTAATTGGACCTACTTGCGGCTTACAGTTCTAAGAGACAGTTTTTATCCGACGAGTATTTAGAGATGGAAATGTATAGGTGGAGATGGAGATCTCCGGTATCGCCGGTTTTAACGGGCATATCTAGGAGTGCAAGAGAGGAGCGATTAAACTGATAATACTGGAAGTAATAACCTATATAAAAATCATTCAGCCATTAATCCTTGGTATATCAGTTAGGAAAATCAGTTATTTTTAATTAGGGAAGAAATCAGCTAATAAAGATTATTTTAATTGTTTTTTAAATAAAACATTTAATATTTACAAAAAATTTTATAAATTATAAATTCCATTTGGTTTTATTAATTTTAGATTCAACTTCATCCACCAACAAATGTAAATACAATTGCGAAAGAGTATCAACTGATTCAACAAAAAGGTTTTGCTGAATTGATTTTTTATTATCGATATAAAAGATGAGAGAATAATAAGCAATTTAAGAAAAATAATAATGTAAATTAATGAAAAATATCTCAAAAATATGAAAAAAAAAATTTATTTAGAAATTGCGGTGAATATTTTGATCGTGAATCGCATGAGTTTCGTGCTGTTGGTGATGATTTTGATGGTCTGGATGAATGCTTATCTGAATCCGATGAACAACCGGCTGAACTTGTACCGTTAGGAATGCGAACTCTTAATTTTGCTGCCTATAAAAAACGTTCAATTAAACGAAAGAATCGAGTCTTCTCCGGTTAATTTTTTATTTATTTTTATTTTTAATTAATTCATTCTTATTCACGTATATTAAAATGTTTTAATTTGAAGGTTATCAGTGGTTTAAATTCTTTCTAATGCTTTATTTATAAAAGGTTAGAAGCTTATATTAAAAATGAGTTGTCAATAATTCGGATCTGTGAACCATCTGTCATCATCATTATTATTTGCTTTAATCATTGAGAGAGGGATATGTATGCATTTCTATCTCTTTCGATAGTAATTCTTCATTGATAATTGCACCGTAGATAACAAAGGAAACGATGCCGATTGACCTCTCTCTATTCTCTTATGAACAAAATTTTTTTAGTTGTAGATTAACCTTTTTTTTCATTTCATTTCGTTTCATTTCATTTCATTTCCACTATTCTCTTCGCTGTCGTAGATCAATTGTTCATCAATTCATACCACATTCATCATTGTATTCATTGTGTCTTATATTTTTCCATTTAGTTATCGAGTATTTCCAGCTGGAAAGCGCGGATTTCTTTGTTCATTTCAATAAGATATTCGATTGAGAGACGTTTGTATTTTTGTTCATCTTATCGGACATTTATTCATCATACACGAAATGAACACGAATTAATTTTGCATACATAATTGTTGATTCGAAATTGAAAGATGATAATATTAGGCGAAATAGGCGAAAATTTTTCATAAATTATGAGTTGTTTATTGAATAATAATTGGTTTGTTATTGGATTATTAATGAATTTTTTATGAAAAAAATTTATATTGTAGGAAAAAAATGAAAATTTCTAGGACATCGATTGATATTGATATTGATATTGTAAAAATAAATTGAAAATTTCGACAGTAGAAAGAAAACAAAATTGCAACGTTTAAAAATTTCCCTTTAATTATCGGATGGCTCAGTGAGTTGTTCGCCAATTCGGAAGTACGGAAATTCTCCCCACAAGAATGAATACGCGTATTCACTTATGTTTCTGTCGTCGAGAAATTTCATATTTTATATAGTGTGAGAAGTCGAATAATAGCGGAGTAAGCCGAACCAGTAATAGTGAGGGTTCTCAAGTAATAAAAAGTTTATGAAGTATGGTGAAAATTGTACAATGAAAAAGTAGAGAATTAGAATGGATGAGTTGTTATCTCATTTTGGAATGCTAATTTTTCGACAGAAACGAAATCTTTCCGAGTGCTCCTATCAGCATATTTAATTCTATCATTGAATGATTCTTTAACAGAATTTATCTGATCCGATAAAGCAGTGGAGCGAATCTAATCAGAATCAATGAAAATTGCAAATTGCAATTGAAAGAAAAAATCAAGAGTGAAAGTAAATATAAATTAAGTATAATTTTTATTTAGGATAGTTTTTAATGGCAAATGGCAAATGTTTGTTAAGCGATTATGAAAATTAATGTTGAGAAAGAGAGAGGTCAAAAGGTCACTGACCAATGAGCACCATTGTTTGACCTTCATTTATATTTAATTATATTCCTTTTTTTTTTCTTTACAACTAAAATGAGATGAGGAAATACGAGAGATTTCTCAACAACTATTAGAAATAATTTGATGGGGAAAAGCTAAATTGAATGCTTTTTTTTAATCAGTATTTATTTGAATTTTTTTTTGTATTTATTTGAATGATTTTTCTAAATTAGCGGTTTTTAGATTTTTACAAATTGACAAATGATCATCTCGGTACGGGGGCATACGCTAGCGTCAGAACTTGTATTTCACTGACCACTGGTGAGGAATTCGCAGTAAAACTTGTTTACAAGCATGAAGCTGGACATACACGAAGTCGTATCATGCGTGAAGTTGAAACATTTCAGATGTGCAAAAATCACCCCAATATTGTACAGTTGCAAGAAGTAAATTTAGACTTAGGCTTTTTAGGCTTAAACTTGAGCAGTTAGATTTCAATTATTATTCAGTTTATTCAGTTTATCATATTTATTTATATTTATTCAGTTTATCATTATCACTGTTGAATTCATGATAATAATTTGATTCGACAAAAACTGGCGTTATTATTTCTATTATTTTTTATTTTCAGTGGTTTGAGGATCATGATTATTTCTATATGGTTTTCGAAAAGATGAAAGGTGGCCCTCTTCTCAATCATATACAACGTAAAGGATTCTTTACAGAACAAGAGGCTAGTAAAGTAACGAAGGATATCGTGAATGCACTAAAATATCTTCATGATCGTGGTAGGTTCTCACTGATTCAGATTTCTGCTATATAATATTCACTTAAGGGTAAACTTTAATATGCTTACTGATTGATGATGATTACTGAAAAATTTTGAAACATTAAAAATTTTAAAACATTAATTTTGAAAAATTTTAAAATATTAAAATGTTATAAAATTAAAATAATAATTGATGAAAGATATTTTTTTGCATTGATTAAATTTATAGGCATTGCTCACCGCGATGTTAAACCAGAAAATGTGCTTTGTTCTGATGAAGAGCGCGTCAGTCCTGTGAAATTATGCGACCTAGATCTAGCAAGCAAGGTAAATTAAAAGTCCAATCTAATTTCTCTTGAATTTTTCATTGATAATCTTTGAATGAAAAATTTTTTGTTTTTTTTCGTAAAGATTTATTTATTTTTAGGCGGTTGCTATGTCACCACCAAAGTTAATTTCGGTAAATAGTGAACCTGATTTAGCTAGTCCTGTTGGAAGTGCGGAATTTATGGCACCTGAGGTTATTCAAAATTCGATTTTTGTCCAATTTTTTTTCCTTTCAGTCTATATATTTTGTTAAATATTTTTATTTAAAAATTTTTTAAAAATATATCAGGTGGTGGATACATTTGTTGGCGATGCTTTGAAATATGACAAGCGTTGCGACATGTGGTCATTGGGGGTTATAATATATATAATGATTTGCGGTTACCCACCTTTCTATGGACAATGCTGGCGTGAAAACTGTGGTTGGGACCAAGGTTTGAAATAAATCCTACTTTAATTAACAGTAAATTAAAACTATCCTTTTCATCTTGAATTTTCATCACGTTTAATTTTTTTAATTGTCGACTTTTTGGTTATCCATAGTTTTTCTTTAGATATTAGTGTTATTCGCGAATACCTATTGAGCCTTTTGCATTCTAAGTTAGGATTCGGTAGTGATTTATCATTCATGTGATCTGATTACAGGCTTATCGTGTAATGATTGCCAAGAAAATCTTTTTAAACGCATTCAGCAAGGTGAATTCGATTTTCCGGAACCAGAGTGGAAAAATGTTAGTAAGGAGGCAAAGGATTTAATTTGCCATCTGCTGGTTAGTTTTTTTAGTTTACTGAATTGCCATTATTTTGCTACTTAATTTTATCACTTTGCATTAATTTTCATTATCTCTAACTGCAAAATATTACTTATTGTTTAGGTTAAAAACGTACGTAACCGATTCACTGCTGATGAGGTACTGAAACATCCTTGGGTAAGGAATGGAGCTCCAGAGACGAAGCTACAAACACCTGGAAATCTTTTCCGGTAGCAGTTTCTGGTTTTTTATTTATCTCAGATTTTATTTTCAACCGTATATTTATGTATATTTTAAATCGCGTGAATTTTGATTCGCATATTTTATTTATTTATTCGCATATTTTATTGTTTATAAAGATCTTGGATTTTTGATATTTATCTTCAGAAATGATAGTACTCGCGATGTGCATCAAATGCAAGAAAACTTCAACGTAATGAATCGTTTAGTTGCTGCACGGCTTAGTGCTCGAATTGATGAGATCAGCACAAAAGGTTTCGTTGGTTTTTAATTAATACTTTTAATTATTAATTATATTTGTCTCAATTAATTATTAATTATGTCAATTTTATTGCTTAATATATATATATATATAAAATATAATTTTGTAATATGTTATAATTATGTAGATATATAATATATATTTGAATAATTTTATTTATTGAAAAATTATAGAAAAGCCGCTAATCACAAAGTTGGTGGAGCCTCAGAAACCAGTGAAAATTGAAGGAAAAATGAACGTTCCTTCAGTTCAGAAGTTAGAAAAAATAATGAAAAACAAAGGTAATAATGTTGAAGAAATGGCGAATTCTCGTGCTACTATAGCGAATGGTGCAAAGAATAGCAATTACGATACACCAAAATCAGAATATGTTCTTCCTCAAGATTTACCTCGTGTTTTACCAAACGTTGCGCCTATTCAACGCGGCGCACTCAATAATGTAATAATGCCTCCACCAGCACCACCCCACCAGCCAGTAGCACATCCACCTCCACATCCTCCACCGCAGCTTTCAGTGATTCCTCAAATAAATGGTGCTATTCCAGTGTCGGTACACGTGTCGCAGGTATGATAGTTACTTCGACTTTTGTAAATATATTCATGTTTGTTTTAGAAATGGTGTATATACATAATTTTGGAAAATTGTTTGATAGAGGTGGCAGTAAGCAATAATTTTAGCAAATATTTTTTTCTCTGTTATTTACTTTGTTTTGTAAGGCAAGACAAGGTAAAAGAAAAAAGTTAAAAATCTTATATAAATATCTTAAAATTATCTTGAAATATAAGATTATTTTATTTTTTTACCAAAAATTTATAGATGGCAATGGCAAATCGACTTATATATGGTGGTGGATTGAAAATTGCACCACCTCCTCCACCGCAGCCACTTCCTTTTCATCCTAGCCAGATGATTAATATGAATGGAATGGTGGTTTATCCAAGCAATTTTATTAATCAACCTGTCTATCCTTCCCAACGGTTTCTTGGTCAACAAACCATAGTAAGTTGATTTTTTTTCCATCTTTATTTTGCGTTAGAGAAGGAAATGAGATAACTTAATTGAGAACAGCGAATATAAATATTAAATTTACGGTAGTATTATTTTTTTAGTATAACGCTTTTCCACCACAACCACAATTTATTTCGACTGTTCCACCATCTGCGAGTGCTAAACCAAATCAAAGTGGAAACAATTTTCGAATTGGGCAAAATCTGCACCCTCCAAAGTACTTCAAAGATCGTGCTTCCATTCCGAATAAAAACAGGATGATGAATAATCGTACAGCTAATGTGGTATGCCTACAAAAAACTCCATCCGCATCGCAGCTAGAACTTGAAACATGTCAAACTGCTATGGCAAGACAGGTAAATAAATTTTCATCTAATAGACGTTTTTGATTGAAATGGGAAATCATTAATGGATTCTTCAAATACAAATGGTTTTATTGGCTAAAATTTTTTCAATCTTTTTTACAGTACATTTTTTCTAAATTTTTTGCAAATTATAATTTTTGATTAAAATTATCTATATAGAGTTTTTAATTAAAATTAAGGATAAAATTTTTAAGGATTCGAAGAGTGATTTACGTCCTCCAACTCGCCAAACTCAGGTCAACGTGTAATACGGGCTGCTTTTTTTTTGTGTCAATTGTCGTATTTCTACATTCCCATCGTTTCATCTTTTTATCGGAAAAACTCTTCTTTCACAAAAATTCAACCTATAAATCGTCGATATTATTTCATGAATTTCGTTCATTCAATATCACAATTCTTTTGGCTCAACAAATTGTTCAAATAATTCGAGGGATATCAATCGTTCTTTATCATTTAGTTGAAATGTTCTTTCATGCTTTTTTATTGTTGGAAATATTTTTAATCATTAGATTTTCCTTTGACATTACTAAATTATATGTTCTGTATATATTTATATTTTATTTAGATATAGATAAATTTGTAAATAGATAAATGAAAAAAGTCTATTGGTAATGATACGTGAACATGGTGTAATCCAGTGGTCAGCGTTGGGTAAGGGTAATTTGCTGTTTGTGAGGAATCGTCCGTCCATCATTTTTTTCTTTTATCAGTTTATAGCGAATTTTGTTTATTATTCCACTTACAGTAAATGAAACGTAATCATCGCTTCGTTAAAGGAAATCTGAAGTAAGTTATTCGATTAATTGTTTCTGTTACTACTATTTTCATTAGGTTTAGTCTTAATATTGTTCATCGTTTAGTTCAAGTTCATTAATTATTAATCATTACGGGAAGTGATTATTTGCTGGGAAGTTTGCTTTTGAATATTGTTATTAGAATGTTAACGTCTACTTTTTCTTTTGTTCTATTAGTTGCATAGTTTATCAGTCAGTTACTAAAGAATAAGGGCTTAGTTTGGAAGAAATTTATAAGGGTTTCCAATATTTTTGCATATTTGATTTTTTAAAATCGAACGATCAGTGAATTACTGGAAAATGAGGTTGTGGAAATTAGCAATGATCGATTTGTTTATAATGCAAGGAAACTTTATTTGGGGAAAGTTATGGGGACGATTTTATTCGAAGTGCAATTAGGAAGAAACTGTTTTTTTTTTTTTGCTTCTGCTTATTAACGATCTACACGATCGTGCACATTTTTGCATTGTATAATAAAAATTTTTTTTGTAAATAATTTTATTAAATTGTTCTCTTAATTCCAGTGATCATCTTCGTTTGTAAATATATTTAATTTTTTTTGCAATCAAAGTTTTTATTTTTTTATTATATTTGTTTAGGAATGCAATGTTTTTTGGTTTTTTTAAAGTATAAAAAAATTTCCATTAAATAATATTTTATTTTGTAGTACTAAAAATAGTAAGTAGTAATTCGTTATTAATTAGCCTTTTTTTAATAAAAACTGTTATTCTCCTTTCCATTAATTGTCTTTTCTTAAATTCGTTTCGTTTTGTTTGGCTTTTTTTTTTATTAATCCGGCTGATAATTATTGTAATTATTAGGTATTTGGGGATTTAATTTTATTCTATTTTCTATATTCTTCTCTTATTTTTACTAATTGATCATTGTAAATATATATAAATATATATCATTTTTTAAATAACGATAATGATTTTTTATTTTGAATTATATATGATTGAATCCCTTGTTTTTGTTTTGCTTTTTACGTAAATTGGCACACTTTTTTTCATTTCATCGTGGAAAGTGAGAATTTTAACATTTTGTCTTGTCGTGCTAATGAATTTCGACGAAATAGCCTCGTCAAATATTTAAGCGTCCAGCGAAAATCGATCATCCGTCCATTAAAGCGATTGCCGTTAGAAGATTATTTATCCTTGCTTGCCTGGCTAGCTAGTTTCTAGTCTTGTCGAAAGAAAAAGCACCATTTCCTCGATATGAATAATTGTTGAGTCGGCACATTTCCATTATAAATTATTCTCTTCGTTTAATCCTCTCAGAACGAGATTAATTTTTATTTAATATAGATTGACAATTTTTTTGTCTTTTTTTTTTAATGGATAATTTTTTAATATTTTTTTTCTTCGGGTGGATTTTTCTCTTTTTATTTTTCGCTTTTGCATAACTTTTAACCATGCAATTCTTTTTCAAGTTATATTCATAGTAAAAAAAAAAAAATTCCCATAAAGATGATCGAAAAATTTCGTTTGGATTTCTTTCCATTTGCAGCTTTTTTTTGTTGTAATTTTTTTTTTGAAATACATCGCAAAAATATTGTAAATTTTTTTCGATCATTATTTCATGAAAACGAAAATATATTTCATGAAATATTTCATAATAATAGACGTAATGAGGAAAATAAGTGAATCTAAGTGAAATTTCGAGTGAAGTGGAATTTCAGCGGGGTGCTTCTCATTAGTGACTGATAAATAGCAAATAATTACGTGAGAGAGATTAGTTGAAATGCTCTGTGAGAAATTCGGAGTCGTATAACTGAGGGGATTTTCTATTTTTCTTAAAAAAATTCAGCTATTTTTATTAAATATTCCTGAAAAAAAAACTCTTCGATTCTGTTTTCTTTAACATCATTGTTATTGCTTTTTCTTTCGTTCTTTTTTAATTCATGGAGGACTTTTTATATTTATAGGTTTCCTCATTTTTCTATAGGATGGTTGCCTTTTAATTATTTTCTCCTCTATATAAGTCGATTTTTTTTCGCTAATGGACAACGAAAGAAGAGGAGAAAAAAGGTAGAAAAGCTAAATCTAAAAAGAAAAATAAAAAAATGAGAAAACCACTCGGTTACTACTTGATTTTTAAATGGCAGCGTTGGCTGTGATTTTTTGTATAGTTGAAATAAGCTGAACGAAAAGAGCAGTTGCCTTAAATTTGGTAGTTTTCTTTTCTTAATTTCAATAACGGTTATTTTATTTTACTCAAGGAATTTATTATTGTTGTTTATTGTAAAACCGAAGGTGGTATTTCAATGAATAGCAATAGCGTTATTTTGAAATTTTTTACGATAAACAACAGTTCAATTTTGGTTTATCTTAGAGGTTGGATTGTATTTTTATCATTGATTTTCTCTTTTTTATAATAAATAAATAAATTGATCATATTATATGCTGAAAATGAGTTGAGAACCCAAGGAAAATTACATTAATTAATTCTACCTCATTCCTGGCATACCTATGATCGAATTTGTAACGGTACATTTGTTTTTTTTTTTTTTAAATTTTTATGTAAATTAAGATGAAATTGTTGGAAATGCGATTCATGAAATAAAGATTTTCACCAATTTTGTTATTTTACAGATTAAATGATAAATGAATGATAAAAATTGAAATATCTCGAAATTTCCTCATAAATAAGTAGTTCGTTAGCGTTTTTTTTAGATAAAATGACACGAAGAAAATGATAAAATATATAATAAAAGGAGTTCTTTTAAAATTATTTCTATGGTTTATTTGAGGGCCATGGAACCATATATTGGTGACTCGTTGGTACCAATCGATTTCTATTTTCAATGGAAGGTGCGACTTTTATAATTTTTACAAGAAAGCATTTTGCTTATCGATAATTTATTTTCTATTGAATATTATAAATATAATAAAGTGGCTAACAACAGTTGGTGCATTCTCGTTAAGTAAAAATCGTTAATTTAAATTATCGTTGTGTGTTAACAGACTTGCAAATTAATTGACAAGTTTATAAATATGCTTGAATCTCATTAAAATACACTTCTAAAATTATTAAAACTACCATTAAATAAAAAAAAGCAATAAAAAATAAATAAATAAATGAATAAAAATAAAATTTTCATTTATTTATTTTTTATTTTTATTTATTTTCATTTTTGTATTTCTTGCGGAAAAATTTTAGTATTCACTAGTAAAATTTGTAGTATTTTCTCTATTGTTCGATAAGCAATATCGGTTATATTTCTCTTCGTCGATCCTATTGGGATTAATTAATTTTTTTTGTCAAATATTTGAAAATTTTTTAAACAATAAAGTTTATTATAATTTTAAATTTCCCTTTTTTAGCTTTTATTTTAGCATTTATTTTTTAATATATTTCAAAATAACGAAAAGAACAAATTCTAATTTAATTAATTCAAGAAGAAATTCTTTAAAAAACACAAAAAAAACTCAAAAAAATATAAATAAAAAATGTCATAAATGATAAAAATAGAAGAGAAATAAATAACACTTTGAATGAAATATTTATTTATTTAAGAAGAATCGCTGGATTTTTTGATGAAATATTTATTTATTTAAGAAGAATTATTAGATTTTTTTAATAAAACGGAAAAGAATTTAAAAAATTCAAAATTTAGAATTTAAAATCGAAAATTTATTCTAAAATTTTCTAATAAAATGAGCGTTATAGAGCGTTAATTTGTATCAATAGAAAATGCAAAAAAAGGCACTTTTTTTTATTATTTTATCGAATATAAAATATATAAAATTCTTCAACAATTTATAGGCCTTAAAGGCGTTAAAAGAAAACGTCGAAACATTAAGCATTTATTATTTTTTAGTAATATTTCTGCATTTTTTTGTATTTTCACAAAACTAACTTTTTCAGTCAATAAATAATAATAATTTCTTTTTTTTTGATATAAAATGATAAAATAATAATTTTTTGTTGCGGAGAGAAAATTTTATCAAATTAAGCAATTAACAAACCAAGCAACCAACCATCCGTCCGGTCGTTCATTAATTATTTTATTTTTTTCTAGTGGAAACCAGATTTTTAAAAGTTTAAAAAAAATTTATAAAGACTTAAAAAATAAAAATTTGCTTGAATGGAACAAAATGAATTTTTCTTTGGCGTCTTTTTTTTGCGATTTTTTGACGAAACAATTTTATGCATTTGTTTCAGAAGCACAATGATCCGATAATTTCTTGTTCATTCTTCGCTTAGTTGTCGCCTATCGCTGTCCTCTGTTTTAAATTTCTTAAAAATCATCTAACAGTTACGCGGAAATCTGATGAAATCTGATGTGATAATACTTTTCTCAACGAATTAATAAATGCTTTACAATTAATACAGTTTATTTTTTTTATATTTATTTTATTTCGTTGAACCTTCTTATTCTTCTAATGGCTCGCATTATGGCTGGTTTAATTGGTTCCACTGATGGCAGCACATTGGTAGCACTTGAACCAGTTTGATGGTTTAAAAATAGCTTATACCAATAAGTTTCTTTGCATCACCAAATTTTCGATTTTATATTCAAGTTATTTTTATGTTATTTTATGTTATTTTATCATATTTTTATGTCATTTTTATTTTTATGAACCAAAATCTTTAAATCTTTAAAATCTTAAAGCATATTTTTATTAATTTTTCTAAATAATTCAATTTTCACCAAGGAACAGTAATCCAGCCATTATGTTCGAACTAACGTGAAACGGTACTTAATTAATTGATAATACAACAATTTCGTTCTCAGAAAAAAATTTTTTAAAAAAAATTTAAGTTTTTACAATAAACTATATTTTTAAGAACTATAGTTTTCTATTATTATTAGGTAAGGAAATCCAAAAATGGCAAAAAAAAAGAACCAAAGAAATTTTTTTTATTCATGAAAAATTATTCAAAATTAAAAAAAGAAAATAAATAAGAATTGCAAAAAAATAAACAATAACCAAGAAAATAAAAAATTTTGAATAAATTTTAAATGCTAAAACTTAATTTACAAATTTAATACAAATTTAAAATATTTAATTCTTTTTACCTAAATGAAAAAAGAGAGCAATCAGTGAAATCCATGGAAAATGAAAGGCGATTTTCAAGGAAATTTTTTTTTTTTTTTGTTTGACCAAAATGGAATCCAATGTTTGCGATGAGTAATGGCAATAAATTCAATCATGTTGCATTGTCCTAGTGCCGTTTATGGACCAAAATCTTTAAAATCTTAAAGCATTCTTAAAATTCTCAATCTATGTTGTTGCCTATTATTATAATACGAAACAAGATGGCCTCCATGATGGCTCACATAATATTTTGTCTCTTAAATAGCTCATAAGATTATTGGTTCGGTTGATTCCATTAGTTATATGGGTGATGATTATTGGTTCAGTTGGATCCACTGGATCCATATACAATATTATGAAGCATTTTCAAATCGCTTGATTTTATAGCGACTCATATGTATATCATTCAACAAATTCGTGCATATTTTTTCATACATTTTTAAAATTTTTTTGGCTTAATGAAAAGTGTTTTCATTTGAATTGAATTTGGTTTTTTCTTTTTCTTTTATTTATCGAATATATTAAAACATGAAATGCATGTTATAAACAATATTTATTATTGATTTTGATTTATTATTTGCGATTTTTTGTTATTTTTTGCTGTCACATCACTTGAAAATCATTGGGAATGACGGGTTTTTTTCCTTGCTCATTGATCATTAGTGATAAGACTCGTTCAAGAAGTTGTTAAGATGGAATTCTTTCCTCAAAGAGACAAACGATACTACTGAGGGTCACGTGGATTTGACTTCAGTCACCGCTTTATTCACGTCCACGAATAGATGGCATTTATTGAATTGATAATCTGATAACCAATATACTCGTTTCCGCTATACTTCTCATTAAAAAAAACCTTCATTTCTTCTCTTCTTGATTCGTGTTTGTTAACACATATTTATTTCCTATTTCACCACAAAATTTCAATAAAAAAAAAAAAAAAAATTAATAAAAAGGTCGAACATTGAAGAACATTGACAAGAACATTGAAATTAATGCGTAACAATTTAAAGTAATTACGGTACATTTCAAAGTATTTAATGCCTTCCTATTCGCATGTTACATCATTGTTTTATATTTTTCTTATATTGAGGCCTAAAAATTATTTCGATTATTGTTTGGTGGTGATAAGCGATTCTATATCACCACTATCACCACTATTTTAATATATTTTAAATTTTTACGAAGATATTTTGTGATCGAATAAGGAGAATGAATGCTAAAAATGAAGATGAAGGAAGTTCTGACCACAAATTATGAGCTCAAATTCGCAATTCAAAATCGTACAATTATATTCCTTTCTTTTCCTATAAATTTTTTTGAGTTTTTTTTTTTTGCTTTCTTCCAAATTCATTTACAAGCCAATCTATTTCCTTTTCTAATCTCCTTTTTTTTAAATAAAATAAAGTAAATAAAGAAATAAATAAAAATTGCTAATGAATATGAACAGTTCAATTCGTTTCAATTCGTTACGAAACTTCGAAAAAAAGTTCTATTTTTTTTTGAATTTTTCATAATTTTAGCGAACATTATTATTCAAAACTTTATAATCCTCTGATTAATGTTCAATTTTTGTTAAAAATCTATACCAAATTCAGTGTTCAATGTTCAACTTTTGTCAAAAATCTATACTAAATTCGTTGCATTTAATTATCATATATAATAACACTATTAAAACTAAACAAGAAAGGCATTGACAACAAATTAAATCGAAGTTTATTGTGGTACTTTTCGATACAATTTTTATCCTTTGCAAGAAAATAACCATTTTCTAGTTGTATAAGTATAAATGGCGAGAAGAACGATTCCAATGTCGCCAACGCTCGGTGCATTATCCGTAACTAACAGAATTCACTCCTTTTTCCGTTCTATCATAAATGACAAATATCAACACATTTCCAGAATAGACCAGAATTTTAATTTTGCCATAATTTTCGAAGAATTTTACCTCTAATGAAATATCATATCATTTTATTTATAATTATTGCTATCACTCCCATAAATAAATGTTATTTGAAAAAAAACAAAAGGTTCCAGGTGATAATTCTATTTTTTGTGATTTTCAAATATTTATTTGATATTAATACGAGGATAGCAGTCCAGATTATTATCTTGAGAGGCAACAGTACTTAACAATGAAAACATTGAAAATAATATTTAGTAATATAATAAATAATATTTACTTGCCCCACCTTTTTCCTCTTCCACAGTGATAAAGCTCTTATTAAAAAATCTATATAGTGATAATAACCTATCCGTATTTCTATCGCATTATGCCTTACTGATAAAATTTCTTACCACTTTAATAGCCAGCGAAACTAGTATTATCTAAAAAACCAAGGACCACTTTTAATTAATATTGGTGTTTTTTTCCTAAATTGGAAAATAGAAGTAAAAAACTAGAAATAACGAAAGAAATTTGTTTGTTGTAAAAGCAAAAAAAATGATTATGAGAGGAAATAAAAGCAAAGAACAATAAACTAATCAAATATTTTTATTTAAATATTTTATTTTTACGAGTCATCACCATTAGCAGTAAGATTCGCTCCACTGGCTTATCAGACTAGGCAAATATACCAGAGAGTTCCTTGGCGATATAAGTACAGGTGATTCGCCAGCATCAACCGGATTTTATTTCATTTTTATTTATAATACAAAGAGAATATTAAGAAATTGTTTAATGAGGGTAGATAAAGAGAAAATTCTATGCAGAAATTTCAGGTGATTTCAGGTAATTTGGAATGTACCGAGTCGAAATTGTGTTAAAAAGAATGTAACAATTCCTCTTGAAAAATATCATATTCTTGCCAATAGTGGCAATGAGTTTTATGGTGAACACATTGTTACTTTATACGAGACGAAATTTGGCTTATTCCCATATTTTAAGAACCTTTCTGATCCAAAATCAGCGGTCAATGGCGGAATTCCACAGGTAGAACAATTATTATTATTATTACTATTATTATTATTGTTATTATTATTTTTTGTTATTTTTATATTTATTATTATTATTGTTATATTTTTATATTATTATTTATTGTTATTTTTATTATTTATTACTATTATTATTGCTATTATTATTTTCGTTATTATTAATATTATTACCATTGTTTTCCTTACCGATAAGGGAGAGAGAAAACTGCTTTAATGAATATTGAATGAAAGGTATATGAAAAGGTATATGAGTATAGGCTGATTCATTAAAGTGCTTCATCTCTTTCTTCTAATGATGCTCACCAATTCTGATTTGGTTGTTATTTCGCCGTTATTAATAGCGAGTAAGTCTACTGGAGGCGAAGAGCCAGATATGCCCGTTGCATCGCTTGCAATTCATTTTTTATGAATTCATTTGAACCAAGGGAGGAAAATTGAATCGGTGATGCATTGGCCTTGGTCAAAGCAAAATACAGCTCGATTATCTCCTAGCATTGTAGAGCCGTATTTTTCTGTGAGCATTTGCTCTTACTGGTTAAGCTCACTCCTCTGGTTTAGTGCACTAAACCAAAATATACTTAGAAGGTTCTCTGGCGATGGAAATACAAATACAGAAGAGTCGACAGCATAATGCGAATTAAATTTACTCCTGCCGGGTGGAAAATTTCAGCATCGGCGCTCCGAATTGAGTAATTGAGTAACTGACGGAACCATTTCATTCCTTTTTGTTCTCTCGGTTAGCTCAGAATGTGCCGCCCTGATGAAGAGAGGTGCATAGGCGGATTCGAATCCATGCCTCGATTCTTGATGGCAATTACTACTGATATTTACCACTGAGCCACTGAGATGCCTGTTAGAGCGATGTATGATAAAGAATAAAAGGAAAAAATTCGCTGGATTTTTTTTTTTGCTATAATCAATAAATATAAAAAAATATCAAAAGAATCTTACATTTAATCATGGCGTAATTTCTTTGCAGAAAATTAATTTCCGTGCGCATTTGCGACAAGTCAAATGGGATATTGAGAAAGCAATACCAAATCCGAGCTTTAGTGGCCTTGCTATTCTGGATATAGAAGAATGGCGACCTCTGTGGTCGACTAATTGGGGTGATAAGCGGTTATACCGAATCGAATCAATTAAATATGTACTCAGGCGATATCCGCAAATAAGTCGGAAAAGTGCAAGAAAAATCGCTATTATCGAGTTTAATAAAGCAGCAGCGTAAGTTGTGCATTGCTTAAATCAAAATATCCTTAAAAATATAATGTTAACATGCACGTTTGCATAAAATAATGGAAAGCCTTGGCTATTTCGACATTCTATTTTTCTCAATTTTTGTTATGAAACAAAGATTTCCTATTTTTTTTGCTCTCTTTTCGATTGTTTGGTGAAATTTATGGACTCATTTTTGAAGATTATATACCAAATAATATGCACAGAATGAAGCAAACAAGATATATTTTTTAGTAAAAGTTATTATTAAAAGTATATTTTTATATTTTTTCTATTTGCATTAGTTGGTCATCAAGCTCACCTCTGGGATTTCTAAGATCCATCACAGTTCTCACGAGGCGCATGGAAGTTGGATCTAATTTGAATTCTTGAATTTTGTATTCTTGAATAAGAAATTAAATGATTTATTTGAATGATAATATTATTTCAACAAATTTATTTGTTTTTGTAGCTATTTTCAAGAGTTATAGCTTTGGTACTGATTAATAAATTTCGGAATATTGAACCATAAAAAATTATTTTCAGTGATTATTTTAGGTAGTTTATTCATATCACTTTGGTGGAAAAATTTATTTTTGTTTTCACTTGAATTTATCTTAAAATTTTAAAAATTGAAAATGATTCACTGTGGATTGCATGGATTTTTATGCAATTTAGGAAGCCTGTAGAAAAAAGCTCTAAGTTTGAGCTCTATAATCGTAAATCTACATTGATCATTAATGAAAATCCTAAGTAGAAGTAGGATTTAAACGAAAATAAAGATACTAATAATTTTCTCTTAATTCTAGATTCAGAGGATATTCAAGCGACAAGCAAACCTAAGATTACGAGCCCTTTCCTTTTAAAAGCTTTACAAATTTAAAAAAATTTGGCAAATTGTTTTACTCACAAATTTTGTGAAATCTTTGGTTGTTATTATCAATAAATCGATGAAAAATTAATCATCTTCAGGAATATAATGATATCAACGATTCGTGTGGGAATTCAAACTAGGCCATTTGCAAAATGGGGATTTTATGGATTTCCGTATTGTAATTATGACGCAGGTTCCGAAGGTGAATATGAATGTTCCCCTATTTATCAAAGAATAAACAGCAGGTAACTTACTTTTCAATGAACCTTTCTCGTCATAAATCCTAACGGTCTCCCAAAATAAAATGGGCTATTCTAAATTTGGCTGTTTTCTCTTTGAAATAAGGAAGTACCATAACAAAGTACCAAAGTTAATATAATTTAAATTGCATTTCACTATTTGCAGATTAAATTTTATATTAAGCAAAAGTAAAGCGCTATATCCATCGATATATTTGTATAAAAAATCGGAGGAGAATGAAAATTTTCGATATATTCATGCAGTTCTTAAGGAGGCTAAACGAGTTTCGTCACAATTCACTCCTAAAAAGCCCATTTTTGCATTCACTCGTGTCGAATATCAACCATATGAAAATCCAACTTATTATTATAGCGAGGTAGATAACAGCGATTAAAAAAGATCCTGTGGACACTCAAATTTTTGCTATAGTTTTCCAGATTGTTGATCTGGCAAATGTTTCATTAAATTATGTCTATCTTTCTCATTTTAAATGATTCTTCAGCTCTTTTTCGCAAATTTAATCTTCAGTTTGATCTTTGCAATTCGCTTAAACAATCGAGCGATCTAGGCTTAACAGGCGCGATTATTTGGTCAACATCATATGGTATGACAATTTCACGATGTTTAGATTTGTCGAACTATGTGATTAATCGACTAGGTCCTTATATGACAACAGTTATTGCGCGTGCGAAAATATGCTCTAACAAAAATTGCCTAAGGTAATTTTTATATTTTTATACCATTTTATTCTCATTTCAGCAGCACCAAGGTCCAGGTTCAGCTCGTCATTATAAATTTCATTTGTTCCTGAAGATTCAGCTGTATTCAGATGTTCATGATGGGCAATTTATTGCATATTTACATATATGCAGAATTTTGATCCACTAAGCTTAAAGGAAGCTTAAGTGGCAAATGATTTAGATGATATCGAATTTTTTCAGTGGATTGTAAGTTTTTCATCTAAATTTTGCTGAAATTTAGACATGGCCAATGTGTAAGGGATGAACAACAGTGCAATTCGCTTACTAAATACAGCTGTGAATGTGATTTTGGGTATCGCGGTGATCATTGCCAATATCGTTACTATCTTTCTTGGTTGAACAATTAGAATAGCATGGGAATTCATGCTGATTGATAACTTCGGCCTATCACAATAAAGCTTCAGTGATGCAGATCGAATCGCTGAGAACGTCAGTCTATTTTTTAAAAAAAAATGGGCAATTGTAGCGATATTTGGAAAATGGAGCAAATTTCATATGGTGAACATGAATTTTTAAAAGCGTTTGATTAAAACTCTAAATATCAAAGATTGTATAAATAATTTTGCTGGTTAATGAAATTTTCGAGCTTTTTTTTTTGCATATTTTTGAAAATTTTCCACTAAATAATTTTTATAATAATTTTTTTATTTTTCATTCTCTCTTGAATATTTGTTTCTGAGGCAAATCGCTTTGTCTTTTTCTTTTACAATGAATACCAATGTTTGCATATAAAAAACCAACTAGTCAACCAACTAAAGCGATTCTAAGCTAATCAAACAAATCAAATCAAAGAAATTTTAAAAAAAGAAAAAAATTAATTTTATTTATTTCGCGAATTTATTTAGGCTTAATTTGAATTGATCAAAAAAAAAGCGGACAAAGAGGAGGACTATTTTGTTATTTATCAATTTTATATGTGCTATTGGAACAATTGAATTTATCCATTCTCTATCAATTTATTAAAAATTCAATTTTTCAAAAATTGAAATATTTCAAAAATATTTGATTTATTTTCTTTCAGAATAAAAATTTTCCATTAAAAAAAAATCAACTTTTTGACAAAATTTCTACAAGACAAGAATATGTGAAAATAACCTATTATAGATTAACCTACTGTAATGGAATTCTCGAAAATTGCTAATTTTAGACTAATAATTTTGCTATTATTTGAATAAAAATCATTGTATTTTAATTTTTATCGAAAGAAATTTTCTAAAATTTTTTTAAATTTAAATTTTTTTTATAAAATTCATAAAATTTAAAAAATAAAACCACTCCAGAATCGACATCATTAATCATCGTTTTGTTGATAAATTCTTCTTTAAAAATATCTTCAAAAATTTTAATGATATTTGATTATGATAACTACTAAATGCAAGCAAATGAATTGGCAAGACAATGAAATCAAAGACTTGTTGCAAGACTTTTTTTTTGAAAGAGTACCATTATTATTGGGTGGTTCCATAGGTTGAAAAATATTTCTTAGTCCGAGGGAGCGCTTAAAAATATAACGAAACAGACTGGTTCAAAGATGGCTAAGAAATGCGACAAGAATAACTTACTTACTTTCACCTTATTTATTCAACTTATATGCATTAATGGGGCTGCTTTGGAAAATGTGGTTTCAAAAGTGGAAGAAAAAGCACCGAAAAGACTTGCCTCATATTGATGACACCAACTCTATGACAGGAAATGGAAAGGATCAATGAGAAGGATTAGTTTTAGAAATGGATATAAAAAACTAAATGTAAAAACTCAACAGAAATATAAAAAAAACTAAACTAAACAAGAAACAAAAGTTTCTAATGTTCTCAATCCAAAGTGGGATTTGACTGACTGATATATATATACCATTAAGTCATTCTCCATTCCTAGAAATAACATGAATCTCCATGGTCTCCAAGACAATCTATTTCTAAATTAATTTTTCAAACTCAAAACAACCATGCATCACTTCTATAACTGAATCAAATCCATATTCATATCGTAGGCATTTTCCTTTTTTATCTCATTTATCGGTAGATCGTTTTCCTTAAAGTTTGATCATCATACAACAATATCCAATGTAGGATAAATGACTACCTTTGTACCTCAAGTGAATTCTGGTTCAATTCGTTCAGTGATCCATTATCCATTAGTTTGTTTTCTTAGCTGCACACAACAGTTATATATAGTTATATAAATCAAAGTTCAAAAGCATCACCATTCATCATATCCTACTTCCTTGAAGCACTTCCAAATTATACACCCATATAGAATGACAGGGAACTTGTCGGCCAATTGTTCTTTTATTGTTTATGTGGTTGATCCTAAATGAACTACCAAAAACTAACCACCACCTCGATATATTCATCGTTAATTCTAAGTCCATTTGTTTAATCTTTTTTATATTTCTGTTGAGTTTTTAGTTTTTTATATCCATTTTTAAAAACTAAGCCTTTTCTCTGATCTTTTGCATAAGAGTGGCGTCATCAATATAAGGCAAGTTTTTTCAGTGGTCTTTTTTTCCACTTTTGAAACTATATTTTCCAAAGCAACCTCGTTCATAAGGAGAAAATAATTCTTCTTGTCGCATTTCTTAGAACCATCCTGAAACCAGTATGTTTCGCTATATTCTATCTATAGTGCTTTCTAATCTATTTACAAGTTTATGCACATGAACATCAGATCCTTATTTTTCTGAACATTCTATAGCTTGAAATGATGGTCAACACAATTGAAAGCATTCATAGAAAATGTAGAATCCTTTTAGCAAAAATTTTTTCCTATGTTCTTCAGCCTTTTTTTAAGAATCCTCACCATTACTGGTTGAACTCGCTGCACTGGTTTGTCACATTGGGCAATATGCTAAAACTAATATGAATATTTGGCGTTCTTTGACTAAGTCCATGTATAGAGGTATTTTTGGTTGTTTGAAGGCAATGCTAATTATTGACAAAAATCGAATCAGTCTCTTGCATTATTTCAATTTTTTAAACCATAAAATCCAACAAGCTTTTCCTTTTTCGCGCTTTACAAATTTGATAACTCAATTCACCAATTCACTGACATCAACATATGTTCTCCTGAAACGAACTTGATCAATTGATGCACCGGATGCACCAACTTTTTCTTCTTTTCCATTTGTGCCTGGTCCATCAACTTTGTTGATCATTATTATTGGGATTATGGAAATCCACGAAATCTAATCGATATTATTTGATTTGATTGCAGTATTTTGATTGCAATACCCTTCCCAGCTATGAAAAACTATGAAAGCATAAAGCACTTTTTTATTGTTTTTCCTGTGGATTAAATGACGTAATCTTATTCTAACCATCCCAATGATCCCAAATAAATCGCCTAAGGCTATTGTCGTTCAATTTTGCTTTTCTCTTTATTGAAAACCTTCGTGACTTCATACTTTCACATACCCGTTAAAATTCCATCTTTGCGATTCTTGATCATATGTCGCTATATGGCAATATCAGCAGTAGTATTGTCGAAGATTTAATCTAGCAACGCCATAAAAACCATTGGTACTCTGAAAGATCGTCAATTCTTCTTCAATGATACGTTGAATACGATTATGGTATTCGTTAATCATTTTATTTTTTCCATTTATGCGGTTTTATTGGTAATTGTATAAATGTGGCTTACCAATGCATTCATTTGCGCAGTATAAAATCACTAAAATCACTGATCATGTGCTGATCATCATCATTGTTCTATATCACTGCTGCCCAATATAGATAAATGAAGATACTAAAAGTTGCTTCTTTTTCTGTTGCAATATTATAAATAGCAAATTCCTAAAAAGTTCTGTGGTTCTAGCATTCGAATTAATTTTTATGCTGAGCACTTCTACAATGAAGTACCATATCACTTTTCTTATGAGTATTGTTTTTACTGCAATTTATGAATGTTATGTGGCAAATGAAAAATTCAAGGTAATCAGGTGTTTTTTCTTTTTTACACATTTATTTAAAATTTAAATGTATGAATTTGATGGCTGAAATTTTCCTCATAAGATGGTTTGGTGCCTATATCTTTTCCTTTTTACAATAAACTTGTTGAAAAAATCCAAATAGCGATGTTTTTTTTTTCTGAACTGTAAAAAATTCGAATAGTATTAGCAGCAAAATAAAACAAACTTAAATAATTATGTGATAAAGTAGAAACAATAATATAATGAATAGAAAAATAAAGACAATGAGTGTTTGGAAATTGAATAATAAATATTTGAAAAAAATCTATGCTCAAGAATTCGAGGCATATTTTAGGTGATTTGGAATGTACCGAGTAGAGGTTGCGTTAGGAAAGACATAAATATTCCTCTTGAAAAATATCATATTCTTGTCAATAGTGGCAATGAGTTTTATGGTGAACATATTGTTACTTTATACGAGACAAAATTTGGCTTATTCCCATATTTTAAGAATCTTTCTGATCCAAAATCAGCGGTCAATGGCGGAATTCCACAGGTACAATTGTTATTATCATTATTATTCTAATTTTGCTTTAAGAAAGATATATAAAATTTAAAAATTGGCATTTAAAAGTGGGCGAATACAACCTGCAGCGCTATACAGTATTTATTTTTACTCATAGGCTTTCTCTTTAAAATCGGTCTCGATGTTAGACAAAATAACATATAGCTCAGCTTCTGTCCTTTATATTAGAGTTATATGTGGCAAGTAACAAATATTTATTATTCAATTTCCAAATATGCAAAAGAATTGCTTGATTTTTTTTTTTTTTTTTTTTTTTTGCAGAAAATTAACTTATATACGCATTTGCGACGAGTTGAAGAGGATATTGCGAAAGCAATACCGGATCGAAGATTTAATGGTCTTGCGATTCTTGATATCGAAGAATGGCGACCATTGTGGTCGTCTAATTGGGGTGCCAAGCAGCTATATCTACACGAATCAATTAAATTTGTATTTCAGCGATATCCAAATATAAGTCTTAAAGGCGCAGAAGAAATCGCCATTGGCGAGTTTAATGAAGCAGCAGCGTAAGACTATTCTTTGCTAAAACCAACTTCACATTCTTGATGTTCATTCCTAAATATTAGTTTTGTCAGATATATGTATTTTTGGCTGAAATATTGCAAAGCTTCGAAACTCTCTCCCTTCCGATAGCCCAATTTTCAATCTATTGTAAAACAGGTTTTTTATCGTTCATATCTTTTTTTTCACGGTTCAATGAAATTTAAAGTATAAAGTTTGAAGTATAAAGACCTACGATTTTTAAATGCCTAAAGCATCAAGTAAACTCTTAATGCAAATTCTCAACGTTTAAGTTTTAAGTTCAAACTTTTTTCATGCATATTCAATAATTAATAAAAATGCTAAGGCATATTTCAGTAAGACTTTAGTGAAAATACATATCGTGAATTTTCTTTCGTCTAGATTTACGGAACTTCAAGGAACCGTTAAGCTTTAGGTTAACAGTACCTTAATCTAGAAGTTTCCAAATTTGGCAAATACTTGGTCATAAATTTCCTGAAACCTTTGGATTTGGATCGATAAGAAATTAACCTTTCACTAGGAGTATAATGATAAATACGATTCGAATGGGGATTCGAAAAAGACCATTTGCAAAATGGGGATTTTATGGATTTCCATACTGCAACTACGACGCAGGATCTAAAGGTGAATATGAATGTTCACTCGCTTATCAAAAAACCAATGACAGGTAAATTATTCTGAAATAGACCTTTTTCGTCGTCCTAATCCTAATGGACTTCCAAAATAATATCAATGAGTTATTCTTTAAAACAAGAATTTTAATTTTAACTGGTTCATTCTTAGAATAGAGAAGTACCAAAATTAATATTTTATAAAAAGTACCATTGTTTGCAGATTAAAATTTATATTAAACGAAGGTACTGCGTTATATCCATCGATATATTTGCATAAAAAATCGAAGGAAAATGAAAATTTTCGATATATTCATGCAATTCTTAAGGAGGCGAAACGAATTTCGTCACAATTCACTCCTAAAAAGCCCATTTTTGCATTCACTCGTGTCGAATATCAACCGCATGAAAATCCAACTTATTATTATAGCAAGGTATGTGCATAGGTGTTAGGTAACAGCGGTTAAAAAAGATCCTGTGGACACTTAATTTTTTTCTATAATTTTCCATGTTATTTTGACAAATATTTCATGAAATTATACCAAAATATTTCTCATCACTAAAGTATTAGTTTTCAGCTTTTATCACAATTTATTCTTCAGTTCGATCTTTGCATTTCGCTTAAACAATCGAGAGATCTAGGCTTAAAAGGCGCGATTATCTGGTCAACATCGTACGGTATGACAAATTGGCGATGTTTAAATCTGTCGAATTATGTGACTACTCGACTTGGCCCTTATGTTCAAGAAGTTATTTCGCATGCGACAAAATGCTCTATTAAGAATTACTACAGGTTAAGCAAAAAAAACAAAAGTAGAATAAAAAGGAACCAAATAATACCGGATGTGACCAAAAAAAATTTCTTAATTTTCTTGATTTTTCAACAAATTTTCCTCGGTTCTTTAGCCATTATTACCAAGCTTTCAATCTATGCTAAATCCACGCTAAATATCGTTAAAAATTAAGATTGGAAAGGCGATTGTTTTACCGAATGTTTTATCTTGAGCATCATTGTCTTGCCTCCAGTAGGAACTATCATTAGAAGTTCCATGTGGCACTACAGACTTAGCTGTGTTTCTTATCCCATATTGCCCCTTGTAAAAAATTTCTAATCGTACCAGTCTGTGGAGCGAGTCTAACGCTTGCTAACCACTTGTTATGGCATGTACCTTTCAAAAAAAAAATTTTTTCAGAATTTCACTCCATAGGTTTTATAAGTAATTATAAAAACCTAGATGATAGATATCCATAATTAAATAAACTCCTTCAATGGAATGTGAAATTCTCTCTTAAATTATCAATTTGTTCAAATTGTTTAGCAGTGGCAATTGTGTACTAAATGATGAACGATAGTGCAATCCCTATGCTAATTACAAATACTGTGAATGTGATGCCAGGTACCACGGTGATTGTTGTCGATGTCGCTACTAATTTTATCCCTATTATATTATTATAAATTATTATAATTTAAAATAATGCAGGGATTATTGTTGATTTTTTTTAAAAAAATTGTAATGGTACTTGTTAAATAAATTTCAAATGGTGAACAAGAAAATTTTAAGAAACTTTAAGAATAAACAATAAAAAAAATTAACGGTTTTAAAAAAACAATCAATAATTTGGTTAAAAATTATACAAATAGTTGCCGGTCAAAGTGACCCTCATATATTTCTTTTTATCGTTTACATTTTTTATTTCATTCCCTGAATTTGCTTCGAAAATAAACCCTTTTCATGCCTTCTTTTGCGACATCAATATTTACATGCACTCCACAACTTATTTTATTAGTTGTCGCTGATAACGATTACAAAAATTTGACATTTATGGTGTTTGTAATTGCACATAAAAATTTTGACTATAGATGATGCGATATGAAATTGATATATACTTGATTATATATTTTAATATATATTTGATTTTATTACGATATATGATTTGAATAACGCTTAATAAATTTTGATCAATCCACGAATACCAGTCGTAATCTCAAAATCATCTAATAAATATTAAGAAATGTGCATTTGTTGATAAAAAATTGATGATATGCATCTTTCATTTACATTCCGTCATATATATAATATGATAATCAGATTTTATCATAATCTAATTTAGTGTAATCTTAGGCTTTTCCATATGAGTGATTATGCCGCTCCAATTGTTCTTCTATCTTCCAATTATCCTCTGGCGAAATGACTAATTATACTAATGACTAATGGTGTAATGAGTGGTGCGATAAAAATTCTCTTGCATTTTCTTATAATTCTTGTTATATCTTATTTATATTATTCTTATTATATTTTTCTATAAAACATTATAAATAGTTATAGCGAATAACAATTTCAAGCTTTTTTTTGGACTAAATTTTAATGTTCAAAATTATTTTTTTCGTTTCAAATTAAACGAATGGAAATATATAAACAAACCAAAATGGCGACGAATGGGAAATCGCAAAAATCGCGAAAGTCACCATTTAAACATTTAACCATCAATTTTTTTTCAATCCAATAATATAGCAAAATCTGTTTATTATCAACTTTAGAAACCTCTCAAAAACAAATTTTAGGATATTTCAATGGGAGAAATTTAACAAATATCTTTCTGTCTTCATAGAATGATTTAATTTCTTTTGCTGATCGATTTTGCTGGATGACATTGAGCAAATTTTCTATAAGCAATATTAATTCTGGTATTTTCTGATATATCGATGAGCATTTTATTAATTATATAAAAAATAATTTTCATTAGTTAAAGAAGATTTTGGAAAATTTATGCTTTTTGTGGTTAAGAAAAAGAGGAACGTCTTCTATTCCAGTGCAAAGTATGAAAATTATCGGCTGGCAATATGTCGAAATTTCTTGATAAATTGATCATCCCTAAAATTTACTGATGGAATACAAATGATTACGGAACTAAAAATAGCATCAATTTATTGAGTTACTGATCTCTTACTATCAAAACGATCAAATTCATGCCTACATTCATAAGGCTAAATAAAATTATTTCTGAAGCACCCCTCTTCTTTATCAGAGAATTTTGAAATGTTTTAGCAAGGCTCTAAGGAATCTGTAAGACTCTTTAAAGGTAGTGGTCATTTTATTCTAATCGTTTTATACGAATTTTACAAGAATTGATTCAATACTTTAAAACTAAAGAATTAATTTAAAAAACACTTTTAATATATAAAAATATATATTTTAAATATTTTAAATATATATGTACTTAGAAAAAAGATCAAAAATATGAATGGGTTCATCGCTTCAGTTAGTTTATTCATCGCTTCAGTTAGTTTATTCCATTAATTACAAAAAAGATGAAGTAATTTTTTACTCTCTAGTATGATAAAACTTAAAAGAATTTGCCTGAACGAGACATATTAATGTTGTATGGCGGTGGAGGTGTTATCATTGATAAGCTGTTTGGCACATGAAATATCTAAACATTTTAACTATTTACACAATGAATAAATAACGAAAATGAATTATGGTCTAAGGTCTAAGGTAATATAAATCTTTTATGTGAAAATTTACCCGTTTAAATTTTTAATTTAAATTTAGATGTTTAAATTTTTAAGTTAAATTAAACTATTAATAAAGTTCTAAAATATATTTACTTACTCTATCATTGACATTTGGCATTGCACTAAATCGTCGTCGAGTTAGGTTTTCGTCAATTTCACGTCCACCTTGTATCATACCAACAACCATATAAATACTGCATGTTATAAGTGAAGCGAGTGACACCAAACCCATTTGTAATTCTAACATCTTAAACCACAAATATTTAATTCAATTTGATAGATTGAATAGCCTTGAAAATTCATTTGGAAATATGTGAAATAGCATCAAATTTTTGTTTTGCTTTTATAAATTTATCCCATAAAACGATTTTCATTTATTTATTAAAATAATCAAAATTTTCATTTATTTATTATTTATTAAAAAGTTTTTTTTATAAATTTTATTATTTTTCATACTATTCAAACGCTAATATTGATTTAAAGTATTAACAGCTACAATTATAAAATAATATAAAATAATTATAAAATAATAATTGATAAATATTCTCATAAAATTCAATCAAAAATGTTTTATTTACTTTTATGTGATCATTAATGCAATGTTCAGCGATTATACGAGAACCAATATAATAACTTGCCGATAAAATAATTGTTAAAATAACAGTTGCAGATGAATAACTGAAAGAAAAATTTTTTGTTTTATTGCAAAATTCTACTAAAAATAAATTCGCTAAAAGAAAATCATTAAGCAGATTAAGAAATTTTTCATCAAAATTTGCATATCTTTTCGATAATGAAACTTTTTTCATTTATTATTTAACAATAATTGTTTTTAAAAAAAGAAAAAATTTAATATAAAAATTTTATGGAATTTCTTTTAGATGCAAAATGACTGAATGAGTTATTGGCTATCATTTTAGGATGTCGATATCGGGCTTCGTGGAAGTGAGCCTTCCTTTCAAAAAATAATCCGCGCCTTGTTTGCGACTTATCTCGTTTTACTTCTACTGTCAGGTAACTTTGTGAAAAAAAATTATCAAATCAGCAGAGATGATAAGAAATGGCAAAAGCGCTTTGAGAATAATTATTTTTGAAAAAAAAGCGCTCGAAGTATAAGGTTGATTTATGTAATTCTCTATAAAATATAAAAAATACTGCTTACAGAGTTATTAAATACAAAGCATTTTTGTACACGGTCGATGTTTTTGTGAAACACATAATAAGTGTACTCGATGAAACCAATGTAAGCAAAATAAAATAGAAAGCGACAGCGTCTGAAAAATAAGCAATTCTAAAATATCATTTGTAATTTCTAATAGTTTTATAAAAAATTTTTTTTTAAAATTAAACACTTTTTTTAGCCAATTTTAGCCAATTTCTACAATCTACTATAATAAAAATTAAAATTATTGGCCAAATTATACTTATTTTTTTCCCAAAAATATTCACCATATTACAAAATTCGTCATTTAATGTGAAAAATTCTCCTCGCCATTAATTAGAAATTTCTTTTTCAAAAGTTTTTTAAATTCCTATTTATTGCATTTTTTCAATTTTTTTCCTCAATCGAATAGCTTATTCTAGTAATTTTTTAAAAAAATGGAAAATTTGATGGAATTTCTCGGATAGATTTTAATCGATTATTTATCACTCTAAGCTAATTTTCTTTAGGAAAAAATTTAAATTTTCAATAAATTTTAAAAATCCATTTGCTATTACTACAATTATTGTTATTACTAATTTTATATTGTTATTATAATTATTGCTATTATTGTTTTTATAATAATATTTATTATTCGTATTTCTTTGCAATAAACAACTTACTAATGAAAAGTTCGATTAATTCAGATTGCCATAAGCATTTATTTTTCGCACTAACAACTTCTCGTCGCCATTCTAAATCAAAAACAACGAAACAAATTGCGAGTATCATTGAATTCACGAGAAATGCAATATGCAAGAACAGTTTTATTTGATGATTGCCACACAACCATGATTTTCGATTTCCACAACAAATAGAATTTAAAATTTCATAGAAATATGACATTTTTTTTGTGAAGAAATCCGAAAAACATCTATAATGCTACTTATAAAATTTCATACGATTCGAATTTACTTACATTAGATTAATTTCATTGGTCTAAATTGATAAATAAATAGAATTAAAAGTTCTTAAAACGTGCCATACTGTATTTATGATTGATTATGATTTGGTTAAAGACAGATGATAAAAAATGATAAATAAAAATAATCAAATGATGATAATCAGACCACTAACTCTTGATAAGCCGGTCAATAAAAATCCTTACTAGCCCAGGAGAGATTAATATCTCACTCATTTTTCAACTCATGCATCAGAATCCTGCCTCTGAATAGGCCTATCAAAAGTCTAAGTGGTGTTTGAGATCCATTTAAGTGAACAACATTTTTACAGACTTTGAAGATGCCTTCGAATAACACGATTGGTGATTGATAAAAATGTAAATATTTTCAAATTTTATATAACAGGAAAACAGACACATTTTCGAATCTATGTGTTTATTGCTAGAGTTAGCAAATACTATAGCCATAAAATTATATTGTATTTGATCAATACCGAATAGCAGCAATTACTCGACTATCCTATCCTCGGAGAACAGAAAAGATTTGCAGTCAAGTATTGGCATAAAAATCGCATAAAGAACGATTATTTTCAAGCTATAAATGGAGAAAAAGTCATGATTGACCTGAAGTTTAAATAGTTAGCACTTTGTATTTGTCATTATGCTCGTATCACTAATTATTAGCACAACTTGAAATTTTAGCCATGCGATTACTATAGGGTATAATTACTTTAGATAAGTCTCTAAAATCACTCGAATTTTTGCAATGACAAATTTTCTCCTATCGAATCTAAAGTCAAAGCCTTAGGAGAGTACAGTATGTGCAACAACCCATTGGGCTATTCTTTCCTCAAAGGGTAAAAAAGAAACGATATGGAGGGGATTTAACAAATTAAATAGATTTTATTTATGAGTGCTGATTGCATAAATAAATAGCTAAAGATGAATGCAAATATTCCTTCAATTTTTACTACTTATTCAATTCAATCAAATATAATAAATAATGAAAAATAGTCAACAACAAATAATAAAAAAAAAACTTAAAATAATTATTTCAATCACGAAATTTTACGTGAAATATATATTTTCACGTAAAATTTTAGGAATAAATAAAGCCAAACATCAATTTATTAAAATATTTATAATATAAAATATTTATGCAATAAAAATATTTATTGCATTCTTTCTTATCAAACGAAGAGAAACTTTAAATGATTAAGATGATAGAATGAAATAATTAGTGATAAAAATATTCGAAATAGCGAAAATATTATAGTAGAAATCATGGAATTTCTATAATACGAATGATAAACAATTCAATTCGCTAAAATTCAGCCAAACCGTATTAAAATATTATAAACAATTTCATCAAAATGGCTAATTATAAAACATATGTTTGTATATTTATATATTACATAAAATAATTATGTTTATTCATAATTAAAATATATTTAATTATAAAAATTTTATTAGAAAATTAATATTAATATTAATGAAAATATTATAATGAATGAATAGTTTTCTCGATTCGATTTGAATTTAATTTCCGTGAATTTGTTAAATATTATTAGTTTTACCAACAATATATTCGATATTTCAATGGAGTTTGCAGAATATAGGAAAAAATAAAAATAAATAAATGAACTGCTGACAAAACTCTGAAAATAATAAATTCTCTTTACTAATTCACCATTCAAATTTGTATGTATTTTTTTTTAAACCCTAACCATTATTGCTTAGAGTCATTATCGCATTGGATAAATATGCTAGAGCTAGTCTTTTAGCGATAGAAGTATAGGCGAATCGCTAGCATTGCTCGGATTTTTGAATAAGTTTACTTCCGCAGGGAGTGGAAACTCAACAACGGCGCTCCGAATTGAGCAACAACCCACTAAACCGTTCTACATCCTTCTCTCATGAATTATTCAATTCAAATTTTTTATTCTTGAAAAAAACTTTTTTATGAAATAAAAATTAATTAATGCTGAAAATAAATTTCGTTATGCATAAAATAGAAAAATAAAATACTTATTAATGGGAAGAGGCATGCCGAGCGCAATTTTATTTAACTATGTTTCTTGCTTTTCTTGCTTATCCATAAAATTTATTTAATAAATTTGGAAATGTCATTTCTAGTCGCCAAATGAAGTGAGCAAAGCCAATAAATAAACAGCGAGTTGAAGAAGAAGAATCATTAAATCCGTTAAAATAAAAAAATATCATAAAAATTTATTAGAAAATGATAAAATTTGAAAAAAGAATGATTAAAACTAAATTAAAACTAAGTCAGTTTTATCAGTTTTTTTTATCAGTTTTTCTTTTTATCGCAATATTTTTGATAAATAAATTTCATTAATTTTTTTTTTTTACTATCCAATTTCATAGAATGAAAAATAATAAATTATTTCTCAAAGGCACTCTCTGGCGAAATGACTTATTTCCTAATAATCAGTTTAGTTAATTAAGCTAATGTAATGTTGCTAATAGCCTAATAATCAACGAGGCTAACTAAATCAGAAATGATAAGCGTTGTTAGGAATTAGAAAAGGAGAATTAGGAAGAATGTCAGTTAAGTTAATGTTAAAACTTTCATATCAGTTGGCCGCAAGAGACAATGAACAATGGAAATAAATAGATGGAATAATAGCAGTAATTTCAAATGAAGAAAAAAATAGAAATTTAAAATTTGAAAAATTTTCATAATTTTTTTTTTAGTCAATAAAATAGTTCGTCGAGTTGTTACTCCCATTTCAGTGCTAACTACTGATAAGAATAGATGGATTTTTCAAAAATTCAGGTGAATCAGGTGACTCGCCTATCGTACTTCTATCACTAAATGATTCTCTGGCAAAAATTTGCCTGTTCTAACAAAATAGCGTAGCAAATAAAACCAGAAAATGAGGGTCCTTAGAAAAAAAAAAAATTTCCTCGCACATTCAAATTTTGATTTTCCTCTTTTTAAGAAAATAAACTTATAAAGAAATTATTGAATTTTAAGAAAATTTATCAAAAATTTCAATTTGATTTCATTTCTTAAAATTGAATTTAAAAGTATTTTAAATGCAATAGGAAAAAACGCTGGGAAAAATTGAATTTAGGAGAAATGCGTCAAATACTTCCAACAAAATAAAATCGTCAACTAATTTCGTTTCTCTGTTTTTTTTGAGTAATTTTAGCTAAAAATTTATTTCTTCTCGAATTTTTCACTTAAAAACTAGGGAAATTTATATAAGAATTTTTATTTTCATTTTTTATTAATTATATGCTCGACTGTTATTGTCATTTTGCCGATAAGTTCTTTTGATGATTAGATTCTTCGCCCTTCGGGAATCAAAAATCCGGGCAATGCTGAGGGTACATTCCTATTTCCATTGCCAACTGCTATATTGGCAGAATTTGCCTATTCTGGCAAACTAGTGGAATCTAATCAGATTTGATGAGAAAAAGAAATTATTTATATGTTGGTTTCTATCAATATTTTTAGCAATTTTTTTGAAAAAATAAGATTTTTTGATTTTTTTATTTCATATTTTAGTTGAGAAATATCGAACTATAACTATGTTTGCAACAAAGATCAATGAAAAGCCATTAAAACGATCCCCTATCGTATCGAAAGAAATATTATTCGATGTTATCATTTTTTCCCCAAAGCAATCATTTTTAAGAAGCATTTTTAGAGTGAAATGAAGAGTCAATTATTTATTCAATTAAGATTTTAAGGATCTAAAGTGATTTGAAAAGAAAATTATTAAATTAAAATCCGATTATTTTTAGCAATTTGGAATGGCCTAAGAATTTTGATATATTATATTAAAACGTATTAATTCTGCTTGCGTTAGAAATAAACGTTGATTTTTAATCATATATGCGCAATTTGCTGCAATAATTCTCAATAGCCATAGGGCAGCAATCGAAAGCAAATTTCATAATTCCCAAATGCAATATATCTATTTGTAACTGCCATAAGTCATTGACTATCTTTTATCATATCGGATTGTTCATCTTGGCAATCCTATCGAAAAATTTTGAGAAACGGGCATATTTCTAAACAAATATCAGCCAAATGGTTGAATATTCGTTTCAGTCGTAATAAATTAAAATTCAACGTTCAATTTCAATAAGCAAATATAAAAATAATATCTTTGGACGAAAAATTTTTTCAACATTCAAAAATATTTCCATTATATTATTTTTTTGTTTATTCATTAAAAATATGGACAAAAAATGGATTTCTAGGAGATTCGATCTTCTTTTTCTAGTAATATTCATCCTTTATGGTTTAAGTTTAGCCATTAAATTAGCCATTAAATTAGGACGAGGTTCCTATCATTTGAGAATAGATGGATGGCTATTCGGGAATAGAATGGCTCAGTGGATTATTGGGATCGCCGATACTGAAGTTCGATTCCTCGCAGGAATAAACTTGCACAAAAATTCGGGTGAAATCCTGGCGGCTCACCTGTATTTCTATCGCCAAAGGACTCCGTGGCATATTGCTCAGTGTGACAAGCTAGTGGAACGAGTTTAACCAGTAATGACTCTCAAAAAAAACGATTGATGCCAGTATTAACCCGAATTTTTCTCTTTTAATGGCAGTTTACTCTTATCCAAGGGCAAGAATGGAACCAATGTTTCATCTTAATCAAAGCAATATGTCGAGTGTATGTTTTTATTCTATCTATAATATGATTATTAATAGTTTAGATAATTATTGTATAAAATTATTGTTTGTTTCATTATACAATTATAAATTTTTATTAATCCATATGAAATAATATATTTATTGAGGAAATGAGCATAATGCCTGCTTTGAACTGGTAATTTCTGGAAACTGATTTAATTGACAATTTCCGCTTTTTCGATTTCATCGCTCAGCGATAAAAGATTTGCGGATTTCTGGATTTCAGGAGGAGAGCATCTCTTTCATCTTAAAGTATTGAACATGTTTTACTTTGAGTATTGGCAATGTTCTTGCGTTTTTCACTTTCTTCACTGATTTCCTAAAATATTCATTTAATATTGATATACGATAATTTGCAATTAAATAAAGTGGTAGAAGACGCAATTATGTTACACCAACCTAATTCGACTTAGCAATGTGCATATATTTTTTATTGCAAGAGTTTAGTTCAGTAAAGTCTCATCAGGCTCGTTGGATTAGACAGTTTGCCACGGAATCACTTAGAAATGCGTCAGCGCTTCAAAATTAGGGAAAACGGCCCATTGAGCTAATCTACCTCTGTATTTACGTATTATAATTTGTAATCATTATAAAATATCTCATAAAATAGAAAAAGTGTAATAATTTAGTATAAATGTAGGAAGTAGATTGGCTCAGAGGGTTGTTCCTTTTATTTTCGCTTCTTTAATTTCAGAGCGCTAATGCTGGTGCCAACTTTCAGCAAAAGAAATCTTATTCTTCTAACAACTCTCATAATTATTGGCTAACTACGCTGGTTACAAAGTTACAAAATTTCGCTGTTCGGTCTAACAATTGAATGAGTCCTTTGGCGATAGAAATACAGGTGAGTCGCCAGCATCACCCGGATTTTCGTATAGATTTACTCCTGCGAGGAATCAAACCTTCGCATCGGTGCTATCAATTGAGCAACCCACTGGGCCATCCTATCCCCACGATGATAATATTAATAAAGATGATATATGAGCGAAGATGGAGACGATAATGCGAGATTAATCCACTCGGCGAACCCATAAAATATATCTTAGATATGAGTGGTCAAAAGAAGATAATGTCTTAATATCCTCCACTCTCATCCGCCATTTCTCGGAGACATATAAATCTTTTAAAAATTCGTATGATGTTGGCGATTCATTTATATTTCTATCTCCGGTTAAAACTTCCACTGGAAACTTTTATCATAACCGAAAAATTAGCGAAGTGAACCAGAAACAGTGAGAGCTCTCAGAAAAAAAAAATGCTTCCAAACAATAAGAAAATGCAATTTTTTAATGAAAAATTTAGGTTATAGAAATATCTTGGATTTTGGACATTCGCGGAAGAAACAAATTTATGCTTAGAAAAAAACCTATCGAATTTAAAATAAGGATTTTTTTACTGATCAAAAAATAATCATATTTAATTTTTCTGATTAATTCATTAATTCCTACTAATATAAAAATAATCACCTTTAATTTCTGATTATATTCTTTAATTAATGCCTGATGTAAAGTTATCCTATATAATCCAGTTATAGAATTCCTCAAATCCTTAGTTCTATTTTCTTCGATCATTTTTTCATCGATACCATAATAACGTAGCGTTTCAAAAATTTCACGAATTATTTTATTTTCAGTTGATTTTCTTGAACCAATCGCCGAATTATAACACATATATGATATTGAAATTTTATTATCTTTTAACCAATACATCTTCTAAAAATAATGAAATTTTTATGAAAAAAAAGCTATTGGCCTTCACTAGAGAAAAATACTGAAATTTTGGTAATAAAAAATTTCTTATTTTTTAAATCTCTTAAATCTACAAATTCTTCAAACCGTTATTTCATTAATGTTTATTCGTTTTTGATAGTCCATTTCCAACATAGCACTAATCAAATATCGAGCATAATTGTTGACATCCTCTGGAAAAGTATAATGGCCAGCTAGAATATTCAACTTTAAATCATTAAACGTATCACCTTTGAAAGGCATTTCACCGGTCAACATAAAATATAAAAGGATTCCAAGCGCCCAAATATCGACCATCGGACCTGTGAAAGTTAATGAAGTATGTCAGTGAAAGTAAAAAAAAAAATAACAAAAATTTACTTCAAAAAACATATATCTTCAAATCGAATATTTTACCTATTCTTTCAAAAAATGTATGGATTACAATAACTTGGCCGAATAGCACATTGCTTTAACAGTGGCCATTGCTATCTTTTGACGAAGCAAATCTGTCATTATAAAAGAAAATCGGATGATATCGTTTGTCATTTATCAGTAGAACGACAGATGAATTGTTAACATCACTCGAATTTTTAAAAGAATTTTATTTCTGCCTTAGGGAATAGCACCAGCGCTTCAAAATTAAGAAAACAGCGCATTTTTCCAGTTGGCACAAGTAATTTTTGTTTGCTTTTTTTAACTTTTATACTATTTATATGAATATAAAAAATAACAAAAATGAATGCCTTTTTTAAAGCAAAAACCAAAAACCTAAATCTCATATGGACACCAATGGCAAAAAAAGGCAAATTAGTATTCTCCTAGCAAATTATAATAAAAGAATAGGAGAATATGATTTTAGCTTAAGATAAGTATATCACTGTGCACTTAGCATTCTCAGATACTATAAAATTTTGCAATCGTTTTTAGAAATTAACAAGAAAAGAAGTATTCCCTTATTTCCTTAAGGTTGTTTTTCTTGAAAAACAAATGATTAAATTACCCGAATAATTTTTATCACGAAATAATTCAGGCGCTGCATACGGTGGTGAGCCACAAGATGTCGATAACATAGTATCGTCAGGACAACCACATGAAAATCCAAAATCAATTAATTTAAGGACATCAGGTCGTGAAAAAATTATATTTTCCGCTTTTATATCACGATGTACGAAATTCAATGAATGCTGCAAAAGTTTTTTCAATTATTATAATAAAATCAGATAAAAAAGATAAAATAAGATAATATACTGCTGATAATATGAAAAAAAAAAAATTCGAACTATACCATATAAGAAATAGCGGAAACGATCTGTGAAAATAGCGATTTCGCTTCATCATCGGATAATTTTCTTTTCTTAAGAATATATTCGTGAAGTTCACCACCACCAGCATATTCCAAAATCAAAAATGTTCGTGAAAATGTTTCAATACACTGAAAAATGTTTAGAAAAAGAAATTTTTAAAGTTTTGCCATAGATCGATGAAAATTGTTCTATTTCTATTTATAACCTAAATATATTTATTTATTTGAAGCCATTCATTAATTATAATTAAAAAGAAAAAATTGTCGAATTATTCGAAGATTCGAATAATAACAATAATAATAATAAAGAAATATATGGAAAATAATTCGTGGTTTAATTTAAAAATTGGATTCACATACATATATTTATATATTTTATTATAATTATATTTATATAATTATAATTATATCTATAATTATATTTACATATATATATATATATTTTTTTTAATACTTCAAATTAAGATCATATATAAATAAAAATTTATTATAAAAGAAATTTTATTTTTTAAAGTCATTTTATTCTTTGTAGGAAAACTTATTATTTTTGATTTTGCTTATCGGACCAGAGATAAAGTTTGCGAGCCAATATCATATGGTGATAAAAGTACAGGATGAGTCACTATCTTTTTGAAAGACAGGTTTACACTTAAAAAAAGTAGGATTCCAGAAATCGGTACTATGAAATAATAGCGAATAACCCTTTGAGCCACGAAAACCTAGCCAAGCTAGATATAATGAGAAATTCTTGAATCTTCTCTGAATCCCTGAATTCAACTTTCTCGAGATTTAAGTGATTCCTAAAATCTAAACTCTCGAATGGATTTTCAAAATCATTTAAGTAAATAAATAAATCATTCTGACTCTTATAAAGAAAAATTAAATGATTAAATCAACTGTATCGAATGATTCGGCTATTATTCTGCATGAAAATAACGCAGTCTTTCGAAAATCCAAAGATGCTAGCAATCCAGGAGTATTTCCATCATCAAGTGATTCACTGGCAAAATTTGTTCGGTCTAATAAGCCCGTGGAATGAGCTTAGTAAGAATTGGAAATAAAGCTTCTTAGAAAAAGATTGAAAAGAGTAAAAAACGCGAAATGAAGACTATATTCATACCTCAAAAAGTCGAATAATATTCGGATGATCTAATTTTTCCATGATATTAATCTCCTGCGCAAAAAGTTGACGAGCGCGTTGGTCAATTTTCCATTTTTCGATTATTTTAATCGCAACTGTTTCTGTTTAATTCAATTTTTGAAAAGCTCATGAAGAGTTAATTAGCTATAAAAAATGGTCACCAGACTTTATGGTACTTAGAAAGTATGGTACTTGTTCTTGTGATTACTCTAGATAGTCCATCTAAATAGATGAGCTTTTTAGTATTACAAATGCTCATTTCATTTAAAAAAACCATTCAATGTTTAGAATAAATTGAATTAATTGAATTTTTTTACCTTTTGCTAAAACATGAACACCAAGTTTAACTTTCGAAAAATTTCCTGTGCCTAATTCTTTGCCTATTGTATATAAACCGATTCGTTTACCCAATGCAACTTCCTGAAACATGATTTCTGACAATAATCATGATAATTCTGATAATAATGATTATAATTATATGATTATAATCATATCTTTGCATATAAAGAATTTGAATGATTAAAGCTATTAGCCAGTATCATAATTTTTTAAACAACACTTAAGAGATAAAGATGTTGGAAACTTTTAAATCGTTTATCAAGTGTATTTTTTTCATTCAGTGATAAAATAAAATGAATTTAGCTGTGGTGATATATTTGAACGCTAAGCATTCCGTAGAGATTTCCTTTACCTAAACCTTCTCCACTTTTTTATGTTGATAGTCGTAAATTAAAATTAATTAAAACTAATCAATTAAGTCATAATTTAAATTCCCAATATAATAAACCTTTCGTATGACATGATCAGTAGCTAAAAGGAAAAGATGCTTTTCGTATAATGTCATTGAATGCGATGATGATTCAGCGTGAAGTATTGGTGCGCTTGGTGCTCGATTCATAGGCCGACACTTTTGCTCAATTTTTTTAAACATATTCTAAAAAAAAAGCTTCTATAAAAATTTAATGTTTATAAATGCATAATTATTCTTCCTTCTTCTTCTTCTAACAGTTCTCACCATTACTGGTTAGGCTGGCTCCAACGGCTATAAGGGTAAGACGCTTCCAAGCAACGCGATCTGATGCCATCGTCGATAGTAATGGAAACAATTCCTTTTTTCATCGTCTAAGTCCATATATTGCTGGTCACCTATACGTTCAAAATCTTTTCTCACCGTATCAGTCCAGGTCTTGATTGGCTCACCTCGCTTTTAACGCCATCCATCACACGGTTTATCAAGTAACGAAATATGTGACAACTCTTGTGGTGGACGACAAAGAATGTGCCTTAACCAGCGAAGGAGGCGCTCTGTGATAACATTATTTATGCAAGTGGCATTTGAACGAAGATGGATGTGATCTTGTGATATCGTATCCGCTCGACGGATCCGTAATATGTACCTTAGACAAGAGTGGTCAAAGGCAGATAACTTCTTAATATCCTTCACTATCATTGACCATGTCTCAGAACCATATAGTAAGATCGAACGAATCACGGCAATATAGATGCGAACTTTCATTTTTATGGTGATTTAATGACGATTCCATAAAGGTTTCATCAATCGGAAGAAGAATTTTAGCTGGTGTGAAATACATAATTATTATTTAAAAATAAATAATGCTTGTACGAATATAACATTAAAAATTTAATTTAATTCTTACTGATAATAAAAGACAGCCTCTAAATTTAAAAGAGAAATACTTGATGATCAAAATTTTTCAATCATTAACGATCCGAAATTGATGATCTGGCAGCTATTTTTGGTACCATTGGGGAGATTTACCGAAATTTAGTTAAAATCTATTCAAGTTGCAACTATTTTCTTCGAAAGGAAATGAATGAAAGGAAATGAAAGGAATGAATTTTGGAAAAGAAAAAAAATTATTTAAGGTATTTTAGTCAACTAATTTCTAAAATTACAATAATTAATTATAATTATAATAATTATAATTAAAATTATAATAAAGTATTTTTATTAAAATAACTTTTTAAAATACTTTTTCTAATAAAAATTTTAAGATTTAAGATTTTAAGAAAATTTTATTTTAAGATTTTAATGACATAAATATGAAATAAATATATAAATATCTGTGGCATTTGAATGAATAAAATTTTAAATAAAATCGAAAAATTTAAAAAAAAAAAAAGAAAAATGAGATTACCGTATTAATTTCCTCTTTTTGTGGTATATTTGGGATTTGTGTTTCATCAAAATTAACAGCGTTAGGTAAAGCGAAATGCAACGAGGCATTAGAAATATCACTATTTATCATCGATATAGCCAACGGTTCAGAAAATGCTTCGCGTTTTAATCTCGCCATCGTAATTATTTCGATGATAATATTTTAGATAATATTTATAAATTAAATTATTTTCGATGAAAAAATAATTCTGTTTGTGATCGCTTAATTAATTATCGTCCAACAATAATTCACTAAGAATTATTTTTTTCATGAAACGAATAAAAATTTTTTTAATAAAAACATTTTTTACAAAATTTTCAAAAAATGAACGAAAAGAATAGAAATGATTAAAAAAAAAAGAATAATTTTAATATTGTTTTGTGAATAATTTTTTGTACAATTTTTATTATTTCATTTTTTCATTTAAAAAAAAAATGGCAAAAACTAAAAGTTATAATTTATTATTTCGCTTGAATTTTTAAATTTATTTTACAATAATTTATTTGATTTTATCGAGTCATTTCAAATCATTTCTTTAACTATATAACGTCTATGAATCTCTTTAGTAAATTTTTTATAAATCGACAAGAGATCGATATGCGGAGTGATAGTGATAGTTAACCAGAAATGATAAGCATCTAGCTGATTTGATAAATTTGATACGATATATACGGTAGATTAATAATGAATTAATGAATTAAATTTAAAAAATTCTCATCAAAAATGAAATTTATCATAGAAATTTTGATAAGCAAAAACTTTACTTTAATGAAAGATGAGTAAGGAAATATATATATATATATATATGTATGTATGCTTATAATATATAATATGAATAAAATTAATGAAAAGTGCTCATCTTCAGCATTCCAAATAATGATCGAAGACGAAGCGTTGCTAGATAACACAAATCAACAAAAATCTCTCTCTATTAATAATCCATCAAAAAGTTGTTATCCGTAATCAAAACATATTTCTTTAAATTCTCAATTTAAGAAAATATTCTCAATTTTATCGCTAAAAATATTCAAATTTATTTAATTAGTTTTTTCTATCAAATCAGTTATAAACTTTTTCTCATTTTTCACTTTTTGAAAATAACTATGAATTTTTTTTATTATTTTATTTTTTTCAAATTATTTTTCGTATATCGAAAATGATTAACTAAATAATAAAAAAATATTGAATCAATTTTTGTCGTTATTTTATTTAATTTTTAATTTTTTATAATAATAAAAAAATATTGAATCAATTTTTGTCGTTATTTTATTTAATTTTTAATTTTTTATATTTTTATATATATATTAATAATATTTTAATTTTTATTTAATATATAAAAATTATAAAAGAAATGCGAAATATCGCTCGTACAAATCGGTTAATTTGATAAAATATTTTAGCGAGAATTTCTCGAAAATTTATTGGTTATCACTTGCACTCAATTTAAATTTCATGCGATTTATCAGAGAGAGAACTATCATTCGTTAATTAATCGGTAATTAATAAATGAATAAATGAATAATTTTATAATGAATAATTTTATAAATTTCCATTCTAATCGAATAGTTACACACATAAATATACTTCATCGCTCTTATGTTTCCATTCCTTTTTTTTAAAATAATAGTTTACATAGTTATTAGTTTTGCTTGATTTCGCTGACAATAACGTCAGACCCTTTTTGAGCCTTTCAAACCAAATCAAGGAGACCACTAAATTTTGTTGGTTCACCTTAAACTCTTTTAAAATAAAGTTTGATTGGAATTAAACTATCTTTTTTTTCTTGCTTCACTAATCCATAGACATTCAAATGCGATAAGTTTATTTTTAGAATAGACGACTGGATAGTGGCTCTGACTATCGTATTGGAGAGCAAATATTTCCAATCAGAGTAAATCAATCATTAAAAAGTAGTGATTGTGCCATCTGCATTTTTATAATTAAGTGATAATAGCCTCTCCTATCAGCTTTAAGAATGATATTTCCGATAAAATAAAAACCACTCGGGGATAAAATTACAAATGAACCATTTCGCATCATTTCACTTTTTTTGCAATATTACTTAATTCAAGAAAGATTAAAACTATAAATGTAAAAATTTTGCAATAGCTTTAAAAAGGTACGATTAGAAGAAATTTTGTTGAACCTTGTAATAATTGTTGAATAACGATTATTTGAATGATTGATTATTTAATCAAACTAAATACAATACAATAATAAAGATAAAATAAAAATAGTAACAAATAATAAGAAAAAACAATAATAAGAATATAAATCACAGTTAATTTCCCTCAGTATAAAAGCAAAAATCGTAAAACATTTATTTGAAAACATTTATAAGAATTAACAAGAATTTCTACATTTCTACATTTCTACATTTCGAACAATAACATTTATACTACATTTCTACATTTACATTTATTATACATTTACACTAATTATACTGAAACGTATTATCAAAATCTACAATATATATCAATAAATCCATAAAACAGCTTTAAAAATTATTTAAAAATTATCAAATTAATATTTTTTTAAAAATTACATTTTAAGCATCAAGCATATCTATTAAAATGCTCACGGCTTTCAAATATATAATACAATGAAATAATAATAAATGACAATACGAATTCCTTTAGTAAAAAATCAATTATTAAACTAGCTTTGGTTCATATCCATATAGAAATGTAGAGATGATCACAATAGTCGCTCCAGTTACAAAAGTTCTAGAAATAAAATGAAATAGACAATAAAAATGAAAATGAATTATTTGTTATTTAAGATTTCGCCTTAAGTCGAAAAATCTTCGACTTCATTATTTCTTCACAAAAAGTCATCGAGGAAAAAATCAAAAAACACTGCAAAATAAAGAAAATCAAAAAAAAACTGCAAAAATGAATTAATAGCACTAAAATATAATTTAAAAAAACTGACAAAGTTGGTTGAAAATCATTGAGAAACCAGTAAGAAATAAAACTTGACAAAATAATAGATAGCGACACAGCGAATCCTTTTAATATGTTGTCTGCATATTTGACAACTAAGGCAATTATAAGTCCACCAAAAGCCTGAAGAAATAACAAAAGTGGCATATAAATAGGTTTTCCAATAATAGTATACCCACCCTATGAACCCCATTTTCTTCCTTACGATATTATTTTTTCTTTCTTTTATTGATAATGATATATTATATAATTAAATTTATATATAAATATATGTATATATATATTTAGAAATTGAAGGCCAAAGTAATCCCAATGATAATCGCAGGAACTATGATAATCTGGCGCTTAACTAGAAAAGTGAAAAAGTGACTTCAACAAATTCCCAAGAACAACATCAGAAACCTCTATCTAGAACAGCGCACTGCTAGAAGAAGCTAAAATATTGTGCAGAAACTCCAATCCCAAAGGCCCATGACCAAAGATTAAGGATGATCCTCATAGGTAAGAAAGAGAAATTTTTTTAACATTTATAATCCTATAATATATAAATTTTATAATATTTTAATAATAATATTAATTTATAATATATTTTAAAATATTAATTTTATAATAAATTTTCTAAAGCGCCAGAATGGCGGAAGATAAATATGGAATATAAAACGGTTCAAACACAGTCCACAGTCAATCCTCTCTACCTTTTCGGTGAAGATCCTTGGACAAGACCCAAGACCAAGTTTATCTACCTTATTTCAATCTTATAAGTCTCTGGTAAAAGATCCGAAATTAAGTGCGACCCATACCAATCATAAAAGGTTGGAAGGGCATTACATATAAACTTACCATAATTAAATTTTTTGAAAATCAACCTACGATAACTGCGAACAAAGAAACGAATCTAAACAAAACCTGAAATAGAATAACAATCCAAATAACCACATTATAACCTTGAAAATATCCATTCTCCACAACTTTATCCCAATCATATAGCCAAATCATGAATGCTGCACCAAATAAACTGAAAAATGCTGAAAAAAATAACCATAGAAATCACTAAAATAAAATCTTCCAAATTATATCTGAATTCCATAATTTTACAAATACAGTAATGGTATGCTATACAATTGCAATGACCTACCAAGCTGCAAGTTTCTCATCCATAAAGAAACATGCGAGCCTTTCAAAATTTTTTCAAAAAATACACCAGAAAAACCACTCGAGAAACATGCCACAAGAACTGCCAAAAGACCAATTAAACGATCAGAATTCAAATGAAATGAGGATATCTTTTCTTCATCGTTGGATTTATAATCTGCAGGCATCTGGAAAAAGCTGCATTCTCGAATAATGAAAAATTGCGGAAATTAAAGAAATCGCAAATTATTTTCTCATAAAATTTTAAATTTTCTTATAAAAATTACTTGAACGAGCGCTACACCTGCCGTGAGCAATAACAGTGAGATCCACTTTAATGCATTCAATTTTTTTCCAAGCATACTTACAGAAAAAAATGCTGTCGTTAATATTTTTAATTGGTAAGTAACCTGCAATATAATAATTTTTATTCAAATTTTCTTAAATATATAATCGATTAGAACGTAAAATGAATTCACGGAATTCATAAAGAGAAATGGCGATTTCATCGATTTTACTTAATATTTTGCGAAAGATTTCGCAGTTTATAAAACCTATAATCTACTGTGATTGTAATTTTTTATGTCATTTTTAATTTATAACTTTTTCGATAGTATTATTATTTAATATTTAATACTTTGTGAATTTATATATTAATACTAAAATAATCGAAACATAAATATATTATAAATATAAATATCTGTACTATACTGTACTATAAATTATCTAGGTATATAAATGTCCAAAATAGTTGTGAATAATATTATTACATTTAGAGAGTTAAATGGGTCAGTGGATTGTTACTGCCATATCAGAGTGCCGAGGTCTTGTTAAAAAAAACCCATTTAGGGCTGACCCACTTTTATCGTCATGACCCTCTGGCAAAATCTGCCTGATCCGACAAGCCAGAGGAGTGAACTTAACAAAAAATGTCGAGCACTCTTGGAAAAAAATTACTATTTTTAAAATCTTAAATATGATTTCTTTAAAATTTCTTTTTTTAAATTTCTTAAATGTAAGTAAATTACAAATCTAAGCTAAATATCAGAATACCAGCAAACTTTGCCAATTATTTTTTGATGAAAAATTGTAGGCTATTTTTTATTATGTGTCCTATGTTTATTTGTATGGCATTTCCTCTCATTTTTTGCTCCTTTTTCTTCTTTCTCCCATATTTTTTCGCTTACATCGAAACCTTTAATCACCTTTCATCAACAATTAACTCTATCCTTATATTATTATCCATATCTGACAATTTAATATAATTCCTGTCGCATCTATAATTTAATAATAGCCATGAAATTTTCTTATCAAAAAGTGAAATTATTCACTATAAAGCTCGCCAAAGAGTTCCATAAAGAGCTCCGAGATTTAAAAAATGACTTTATTATTTTCAAACTATGTAAAATATCCGAAATTAATATTCGAAATAAGCCCCGGCAAGCAACTAATAGTGGAAAAGAAAACCTGGTACGTTGCAGCATCCAATTTTGTGAGTGCCAAAAATAACAAATTATTTTGAATTACATAAAGAAATGCAGGCACACCGACTTTCAATGTCTCTTTTGAATTAATCAAAAATTCTCGATGAATTTCCAATTTTACACTAGTAAATTGCCATTCTGCAAACAATAAAATTTACAAAAACTTAAATAAATAGAGAAATTAAATCAGCAAAAAGAGAAAATGGTGTCAGTCAATTACCTCTGAGCTGATTATATTTCCCTACTTTCGTGCTTCTAGTTGAAACGCAAATAACTGAAATACAAGCTATGGAACTATAGTTCAATTTACAATAGTCGCACAGTATTTTTTTCTCTTTCCCATGTTTCACCACGTTTTTTTACGCTACAAGAAAGCATACAATGCCATTTCTAGTAAACTCCACTAATACTTTAGATAGCTGATTTATCAGCACTATTTGAATTTTTTACTGAAGGCACATTTTGTCAAGCTGAACAATGAAAGAGAACTAACTAACCATTTTGTTGCATTAAAACAAAAATACAAGTGAAGAATTTGATAAATTCAGCTGATAAAATCGCTGTTGATGATAAATATTTTGGCCCATCGACTTTCTGCGTTTTTGAATAGCGAAGTAATAAAACCAAAGCCGATGTTTGACTAATTAAAACAATAAGCGAAATCCATTTTAAATTTAATCCTTGCATTGTCATAATTTTTCTTTTTTTTTCTGAATCAAAATCGTTATCAATAAGGAAAATATTTGCTATCACTAAGATAAATATCCATTATCACTAAAAAAAAGAGGAATAAAAAATGTGAAAGCGAAGAAAATTTTAGAGAAACTGTGATATAGGAACCAATAAATATGCATTTAGATAAAAGCGTTTTTTACATTTAGAAATTTGGATGAAATAGAAGAAGTGAGAAATCTCCCTTTTTCATAGTTCTTTATATTCCACAAATACGATACAGCAACGCTTAACCTTTGACCCCTCCCTCCCACCTTTCCTCCTCTCCCATCCGCACACATATATATATATATAAATTTTAACAAAATGTGGAAAAAACATCCATCAAAGGAACGAAAAAATACGGCCATCTCTATTTCTTATGCGGTCTATTCTAATCCGCGGTCTTTGTATGAAAAATTTGACGGCCCTAATAAAAAAACGATGACAGCGGAAGTTCAAAAAAGTATCCGCCTTTGATCACTTGTGATTCGCTAAGGTGTATTTTAAGTATGATTGCCTTAAACCTGCTTAAAATCTTGTGTATAACCGATCACTCTCGCTTAGGTACCATCTACATTAATGGTTCATACACGATTCGAAACCTTGTGATCGATCGTATCAAAAGCGAGGAGAATCAGATGAAGAGGTGGATTGAGGAGAGGGTTTCTTTAAAAGAATAACTGATCCAGTGAAATAGGTTCATAGACGATCGACTCAGATTATGGCATCGAGTTTAGCCAGAAGAGAAGCAGAACAAGATGAATGAAATCGTAGTCGAAGATTTATGAATCCATGCGGATTAAATGATCGATCCTCAATTAAATCAGATTTGATTCATGAAATCTTTTTTATTTCTTCAGCTCTTTAATTCAAATTTATGGAAAATTTATTGAATACAAGGATAGGAAAGCCGAGTGATAAATGTTAATCATCGAATATCATTCAGATTCGTTGTAGATTCTCATGGAGGAAGCATCATGAATAAAAAAAATCTATTGCATGACAAGATGCCAACCAAATCGAATTTGATCCTATATCGAGCTCTAGGTCATCAAGCTTAGGTGATATTATTTGCAATGAAACTTGAGAAATTTCTCGTATTTCACCAAATTATGATAACCCTAGGAAAATTACGAGCGTTTTATATAATTTTATCGTATAAATAGTTAAATTCTTTTTTTTTTTTTGAAGTCGGTTGTCATTTTGTAACGGTACCATCCATAAATCGATAATTGGTGCAACTGTGTGAAATTTTATTAGCATAACGATTAGGTAGGTTGGTGCAATGGTGTGAAATCATATAAGGTTCAGATCCTTCTTCGAAGTCATATGTGAACGATCAACTGATTCGATTAAATGTTCAGCAAGAATTCTCCAAAAAAATGGATCGCGAATTTCAGATTTTTATTTACCAAATCCGAAAAAAAAATATTCTTCGAAAATCGAAATCCATTTTCCTCGATACATATTTGCACCAGTTGAATGCTTATTGTACCACATAACTGAACGAAGCAACTGAAAGCAACTCGGTGTATCCGCATTGGTTCCATATTAAAACGAGTTCATTGATTGCATTTCTTCACCAGACACCTTATTTCATTTTTTTTTCTCACTGATAAAATTAATCATAATTTGGGATTTTAAATTTTGAGAATTCGGTCGAGAATTCAAAATATTTTTCTTTATAAAATGTAACTGCATTCATATTATATATAATATGCTGTGATTACCTGAGAACAGACATATTGGTCCACCGGAACGTCTAGGTCTAGTGGCTCCATAGGACCGTTTGAATTTAGTGGAAGAATAAATTTCTTCGAAGGACAAAAATTGCGCATCCGACAGGCTTCCTAAAGAGAAATAGCATCCAAACAACCAGCTTGAATTCATGTTGGGTCTCGAAACAATTGTTTGCCAACTGTGCAATTTGTTGATGATAGAATTTAACTGCTATTTAGTTTTCATACGATTTTTAGTGGTTCCTCAACATTCCAGTGTTTTTTCTTGTATTGTTATTCGCTCTTCTGTGGTGGATTGAGCCTTTTTATCAAAAATTTCTAGACAGTGATTTTTTGATTTCAGTCCAAATATCTCAGTTCACCACCGAGCCAAACTTAGGAAAATATGCCAAGTGCCAAGAGGTAAATTCTAATAGAAAAAGGATTTATTTTTTTCTTAAAATTTCTAAAAATTAATTGAATATTACGATAATTGCTTTATCAGCACGTTGAATTAAATTCTACAAATATCTGACTGATAAAATTTAACAGATAATTCAAATAGAATGATTAATCAAAAACATGATAAATCCCCTTCTCATCTTCTATAGGTGGTACTCCTCAACGTCGTTGTTCTACCATAATGGTAAAAGCTGAAGGGTTCTTCATAGTATCTTAAATTGGATGTGTGCAAATTAAAGATGAAGTGGATAAAATGGCACAGTGAATTGTTGCTCTGATTCCGAGGCATCGTCACTGGAATTGTGTCACCTGGAAAGATGAACCTATCTTTTAAGAATCCATAGTCCTGGCGAAATGTCAAAATTTTATCTAATCTGAAAAATCAGCGAATCGAACTTAGCTTGAAACGGTTGATTGTTTTTTAAAAAATTTAATCACGTCGACGAGTATAAAGTTAATATTAATATTGGCATTTATCGGCTCTTTACTTATTTGCTTTATTTTTTTAAGTTTTATGTTCTTCTCACCACAGTTTTTTATTTTAGATGTTAATGAACCGGATTTGTACTAATAATTGGAGTAAAATTTTTTCGTTATGTTATCCACATGAAATTCAATATCAAATTGTTCGATATGGTCTACAAAGATTTAAAAGGAAAATTGCCAAGGTTCGTCCTTTGAGAACGCCAACAGCACTTGCTCTTGACCATTTTGATTTTTATTATGGTCCATTGTTTGGCGATAAATGGCCATCAATCCGTTTGGCTTTATTGATGCCACATAAATATATCGCTATTTTGAATAAATTCAGCAGGTTTGTTCGCATATCATTTCTTAATAAGCCATTTTTCAATTATTTTGTTACATAACCATGTTTAGGGAGAGAAGAGAGAGCATGAAATGGCTCAATGGCTCGTCGCTCTCATTTCGGGCGTTCTTTTTCGAGTAGGAATAAACCTATCGAAAATTTAGATGGTGCTGATGACCCACTTGTACTTCTATGCCGAGTTATTCCTTGGCAAAAGCGAGAAATAGTGAGTGCAGAAAAAAACCATGTTCATGGTGTACCACCTTTTATCATTCCTGTTCTATCTGTTATTCACATTATCTCAACGATTTCAACAAAACTTTGTTTTATGCATCTCATCATAAGAAATTTTATAATTTTTAATTTTATTGTCGTAATTTTGTTGTTCATTCTACCTAACTTTGGAATATAAAATTGGAGTCGCTACTGTAAAAGAAAGTACCAAAAATTTTGATGCAAATACTGAATAGGATCGATGAATGAAAATTTCCTTAAATTATATTTTATTCAAAGTTTGAAAGTAAATTTAAAATTAAATAATATTAATAATAATAATCAATAATAATTTTAATTTTCATTTGCGAAACAATTTTCATTTTTTAGTTCAGCAAACATAGATGAAGAAATATTGAAAGAATATGGTGCTTTCGACTTATTGTCAACTATAATTGATCAAACATCATTTGATAAAGATAAAAAGAGAAAAGAGAGTGATTTGAACGAACATTTACTTGGTGATTGTGAGGATTTGACGATTGCTGAGAGTGATATTGGAAAAAATGAATCTATTGCTGATGAAGTATTTTTTTATTATCGTTTTCGTTCACGTTAATTCTTCATTATTTCACTGTTTTAAAAAATACTCTTAATTCTATTCTAAAAAAGTGGATAAATTAAATTTCTTTCAGTTGTTGACTTTAGATTGTTTATTTTTAAGAATATTGAAGAAAAAAGAGATGAGTCTAGTCTACTTCATTTTCGTCAGTCGCAAGGGAGCTTTAGCAGAAATGATATGCTTATGCGAACGAAACATATGAGAAAGAAGGAAATTGTGTGGGTATTTTATCTTGAATAATTTGCTGTGGAAATTTATAAATATAATATTTTTCATAATTTTCCAGAATAACTGGCTATGAAGGCCAATCAGTGAATTTACCTAAACAAGAGGATTTTATTATTTATCCTCGCGAATTGAAATTATTTTCCTTTCCACGTGGTTCCACAAACGATTTCCCTGCTCCATCGAAAGATCGAAATCGAATTCCAGGTCAGCTTCGATTTAATCTCATGTTTATTTACAGCAATGCATCAGATTCACAAATTTATGTTTTTACAAATTTAGTTTTTTTATTTTTTTTTTATTTCAATTTTTTTCATTTGATCTTTTTTTTAATCCCCTTTTTCATGGAATGGATTTGTTGCGCTTAAATTTATTTACTGGCTTATTGCTTTTAAATTGTTATTTGGTATCGTCCCAAAAAAATATTTTAAAAAATAAGTTGATTAATTAAAATAATATTAAAATAATTAAAATAATATCCATTTTATGTAGATTTTGAGATTGAAATGAAAATTAGGCATTTTTGTCTAGGGTGGTGGCTTGTCACTGGCTCATCTATAATACCTGTTCTTGCTCTTAATTTATGTAAGGGTGACGTGGTGCTCGATATGTGTGCTGCACCTGGAGGCAAAAGTTTGCAGATAATTCAGACTGGTCTTGTCGGTAAGATCCGATATTTTTATTTTCATTTTTCTTATTTTGCGGCCATTTTTTACATAAATTTTTGGCACTTTTCAGGCAAACTTGTTTGTAATGATTATAAGCTAAGTCGGTTAGGTGACTTAAAGCGATCATTGTCCATCTATATACCTGTTAATTCTGATGAATCTAAAGCTGTATTTCTCAAACGCAAAGATGCATCTGATCTCACGAATTGGGATGAATTTGGATTATATGATAAGGTTTTAAGGTTTTTTTCATTGATTGAATTTGTATTAATAGTATATATATCAATATATCAATTAATTTCTCTACAAATAATTCGACTAATCGATTTGTCATTTTACGTTTCGACTGGTACCAAATATCAAATAATTAAAAAAACATTTGATGTAAAAATGAATATCTTATCATTTACTTCGTAGTTATTTAAAGGTTCTAGCAGATGTAACATGTACAACTGATCGTCATTCATTACAACAAGATGAATTAAATATATTTGCTACAGCAAAGACAAATGAACGGCTCACGTTGCCTTTTCTACAGACAAAGATATTAATGTAAGTCTTAAATTTTTTCACTCTTTCATTCATATGTTTTCATATATGCTAAAATACTCTCTTATTTATATAAAATATAAAATTAATAAAATTTCTCATCTCATATAAAATTTACTAAAATTAACTTTTACGAACTTTCGAAATATTTTTTTACAATGAATTTTCTTTTGTATATATTTGTTGCAGAAATGCACTAAGATCAGTTCGCGTTGGAGGTTGTGTAGTTTATTCAACTTGTACTCTTTCAAGTGTACAAAATGAGGGTGTTATTGAAAACGCAGTTGCTATAGCGTCAGAACAATTTGGAATTGAGGTTCATTTGTCATTCACTTTTTAAATTGTATTTAGTGTTTTTAATTTATTAGTATTTGATTAAATTTTGAAAACAAATATATTTATTATTCAGGCTGTCGAGATGATCATGGACAATATGCAGAAAAGTCTTTCTTCTACGGGTTTATTTGAATTTTATCCCGGTTGTCGTCGAGGTCTTCTTATTCTTCCATTTTTACCTTCTAATTTCGGTCCACTTTATGTTTGTAAATTAAGGAGGACCAAATAAATATTATTGTTCACAAATTAATTTCCACTGAATTATGTTTATTAATAATGACCATTTATCAAAATTATTGACATAAAGCAAAGGTGGAATGACTTATTGGATTGTTGCTCTCATTTCGCTCATATCATACTAACGATGCGACTAACGTACAATTTTGCCCCTTTGCATGGGTAGCCTGTTTTTCAAAAATCTGACTGGTGCTGATGATCCATCTGCACTTCTGTCAAGTGACTCTCTAATAAAACATCTGCTCTGATAGATCTGCCAGCAGAACGAGTCTAATGAGGAGAAAAGGTGCCTTCTTAGAAAAAAATCACATATAACTATTTTCACGAAATATTTATAAAGTTAATGACAGTGTAGTTAAAATTAGTGAATAAATCACAATCAACATACATCTGCCCAATTTTTTTTTAATCAACGAATTATTCGTCTTGTTTGAAAAATTTATAATGAATATCAAATAAGCGAAAATATTTAAAAACTTATTAAAGAGTAATTTAAAAATAGAAGAGAGAGGAATAAGAAGAAACATCACATGGACCGATGATGAATTGTAAAGGCACATATGATATGATAAATATGATGATTAAGAAAACTGATTGCTTAATTCTGGGCTAAATAAACTGAAAAATAAGAAGATGAATAAATAAAAAATAATAAGATGAATAATAAACAGCGACCTACATTTTGACTCCTTCAAATTACTGGAAATTTCCAAACAAAAATTGGAATGGCGTTAACATGGATTTATGTAACAGCAAATGTAGGCCGATTGTGGAACTGATAAATCGAATCTAGTGCGTTTTGAAACATTAAAATGATTGCTAAATATTCAAAACACCCTATCATATAACCAATAAAATCCACTCTAAAACTCCGATGAACTCCGATTTTAAATATTTTTTATGAATAAATGAATATTTAAAGATAAAAGATTTCACGGAAACTCAATACAATAATTTAGGTCGATCTGTTTAAATAAAATAATACATAATTTTAAACTTGTATATTAATGCGGATGTTTTTATAGAACTGTTATCATTTAAAATGCTTCGTCTTATTTTATCATGTGGCAAAATTAACCGATACGTCTGCAACTGCTACAACGACGATGTACGGTGCAAGGAATGCAACATAAAACAAATAAACCAAGTGGGAATGTAAAAATCGCAACGACAATAAGGCACATCAAACAGCAAAGATCTGTTTCACCTCTCACTGTTCCAACCTAAAAAATTAACAAAAATGGTAAATTGATTGCACTTGACAATAATTTTTTCTCTTTTAACTCTAAAATTTGAATATTCAATTTTTTACTTAGCCTGGATATTGTCAATTATTAAAATAGGCAAATTAATATAACTAAATAATTAAATTACTTTTAAATAATTTTTAACAAATCTGGTAACACTTATGCGAAATAAAATAACTTACACCGCAATAAGCGCAATTTCCCGGTAGGCGCTCAGAATGAATTACGTGAATCTGAGTTGTCGGAGCAACAGGCGTCGCTAAAAAATATAAGGTGCGATAATAATCTAAAATAGCTATTTTAATTCCTAATTCAAAAAAAAATAATACATACCTGGAAGAGGTGGCGGAATTGGTTGACTCATCGGCTGCAATGAATATGGAGGAAGATAAGGCTTAGGAAAAGATGCATCATGAAGTCCACGTGAATAAGGCGCAGCACTAGCTGGATACGCCATTGCTGCTTGATATGATGGTGGAGGCTCACTTAAATTTCAAATTCCTTTACAATTAAAATTTCATTCATTTCTTGTGGGAAGTATAGTAATTTTTATTTATTGCTAAGAAAAATAATAAAATCTCATTGTGAAAAATGTAGTATATAAAGAGACGAAGAATGATTAGGAGAGAAGAAAGACAAATATTAGAGAAATAAAATATTTTAGATTTTTGAGTAAATTAAGAAAATACAATATTATTCAATTAACAAATAAGAAAATTCAATTAGAGGAGATAAATATGGATAAGCTGAGGAAAAAAAAGCTAGGAATGGAAAATGGTTAGACAATGAATGAAATCTTATGAAATCTATTTTCCTTTGCAACAAATAATTCCAATCAGTCATCAGATTTTTGAAAATACAATTAAAACAATGCAGTTATTTTTTCGTTACCTATAAGTTGGAGGTGTTTGATTAGCAACATGTGGTGGCGTTGTAAGCAAAAATTCAGCCTGAACTGGCTGAATTAATTCTGATTGCGAAGTAATTTGTGTCCTCGAAACTTCAGTATTTGATTCGTTAGTTTCTTCCGACTCATCCGGAGGAGCACTTGCTATTCCTTGACTTTTGCTCATCTTAAAATTACCTTTTTTAAATATAATTTTTTATAATAATTTTTATACAGAAATCGAAAAACGACGTCATATCACAAAGATTTATAATCCGCATTTTTGCTTTATTAATTTTGTTTAGAGAAATTTATTTCAAGTCCAAAACATTCAATCGTTTCGTAAATATAAATATAAGCTAATAAATTTAAACATTATTTTAACAATATTTTAATATTCAAATAACTTAAATAAAAAGTGGAAATTACCACAGTTTTTATAAATGGCACTCAAGTAAACAATTATTTATCAGCATATCAACAAATAACAAACAATGAGTCAGGTTATGAGCAAAATTAAAAAATGAATCCTAAGAAAATCCAAAGTAACCTAAAACTCAATGAGAACAAGAAAATATCAGGTAATACACACCGTTTCTGCAGAGTAATCATTTTTTGTGAAGAGAATCAATAATAAATTGAAAATCAACAGCACAAAAAAGTTTTTTTTTTAAAAATTTTACTAGGTCAAAAAGAAATATACTGAATTATAAAACTGAGAATTTCTCATAAAAACATTGTAAATCTTTTTGCTAAAATCATCTTTTTTGATCCAAAATCTTTTCAATTCCATCCTTTGCTTTTTCAGAGTTCAAAGAAAATTTTCAATAAAATCAAACGCAATCAATTCTCTATTACTGGTTTGATGAAGAAATACGATGATCTATAACGAAAGAAAAATTTAAACAATTATAATTTGAATTCAATTAGCGAAAATAAATTTCGAAAAAATAAAATTAGATCAATAAAAAATTTAAATTAATTCGTAGGAGATTAGGGAACAAGGGAACGAAAAAAACAAAAAATAACTTATCTACCTATTTGCAGACCAAAAAATTATAAAAATTTTGTGCGGAAATAAATTGAAATGCAAGAAAAAATGTGGAAAAAGGAAAAAAAAATATAGGACAAATAAACAAAGTATTATGAAGGAAACAACTATAAAAACAACTTTTTCAAAGTTGTTTGAAATGGGTGAAATAGGAATGAAAAATTTAAAAATAATACTCCGATTAGGTATATGCAAAGGCATATCTTCCGGAATTGCAATACAGTGCATTTCATCTCTATATTTATAAATAACTCGAAGCATTTTGGGCTCGAAAGGACAAGGATCATAAAATCCTGGCAATTGGTGCTGAAAAAATCTAATTATTTAAATTGCACTAATTGATTTCTGCAAAATATCATTGATTAATGAATATTTTTGCTTTAAAAGCACGTGCTCAATATAAATTACTATTTCCGACTTTATAGAATCTCATTAAAATACGAGAAAAAATTCCAAACCTTGGAAGAATATAGCCTTAATTGCGAATCATGGACCAACGCTTGCAGAGCCAAAGTTACATCAATTACTCGATCACCCAACAATGGATACAACGCTGCAGTGGGACCATCACCTAACATATGACCATATTTGGCTTCAATTATAATAAGACCACCTTTAGCCTTTTCAGTATTAGCATTACGTTCCGCCTGCGGACGCATTAGATTCATTATATTCCCTGCCTCCTCTCTTTTGATGGCATCGACCTGAAAATAATCGCATAAGCCTTACAACCAAACATAATCAAAATTACTTTATTTTTCTAACATAATGAAAATACGTAATTAACTGGCTTTTTATTGCCTTCGTACAAGACTAGATAATGAAAAATATATTCTTAAAACCACTTCTTTAAGCTCAGACTGGTCCTCAAATAGAGATATGATATGATCGTATGTCTTTCGAAAAGCGACTTTAACCAAACTAAATCCAATAAATGGCAAAACGACTCCAAAAAGCATGGCCCGAGCCAAGTCTTCATCGTTGTCACAGAGATAGAACTTAAAATCATAGGTTGTAGTTCCCGTTTTAACCCTAAAAATAATAATATAACTGCTAATAAATTTATATTGGTTATGGAAGAAACTGAATAATAAAAATATTCATCAATATTAATCAAATAGAATTTAAAGGTTTCAAAAATTTTCTTATCAAAATTTATAAAAATATTGATTCAGCCTCCTCAAATATAATGAAACTTATGAGTACAGTATAAAATTTCATTCCCCTAGCTATCACAAACCAAGTAAATTAACTAGAGATCTCCAGAAATAATTTATACCTTTGTCTTCATTTTTCATCAAAATAATTAAAACCTATATGTAAATGCATCATTCTTAGTTATTTTTTAAAATAAAATAATAATATCATCCATGATATTATTTAAAAGTTTCACATTATACAGATGGTTTGAAATCTTGATCTTTTATCATCCTTATATCAGCAAAAAATTCTATTCGACTTGTGTTTTTCTGTAATTTCTCTTTTATTTGCTCTTATTTGCTCTTTATAATATTTGCTCTATATATTGTTGTCCACGTTTTTTTCTTTTGTATTTTATGTCAATAGCACTAATCTTTTCATTTAACACCACATTTTTATTATTGAATATTATTGAATACACATGGCAGTTGTAGCCCTGTTTGGTTATTTTCAAATAAATATTAAAATTAAGATCATAAAAGAAACCTTAATTTCGTGCTTAATAAATAACTTGGAAAAGCAAACGAAAGATTGATTCCAATACGAGAATATCTTGAAAATCGCCTCTCATAAGATATTGTTGGTATAATTCCACCAGTACCAACAAGACAACTTGTTTCCAGTATTCCATCATGTGTACCATAATGTTTAGAATACACAGTGCGCAGACTAATATTCGATGGTGATACCTAATGCAATAAATATTACGAATTTAGATTAGATTAGACTTTAGATTACGAATTTCAGTCTAATAATAAAAAATATGATAAATTTGAATAATTCTATTCTAGCATCCATAAATATTAACTGTTAGGTTCGTAATAAAGTTTGGTTGATTTAGATTGCTATGTATGATTGTTGTCGTCAAAGACTGCTGAATTCCAAAATGGTATGCAACCGTACCTTGCCATTGAGGATCTAATCCCCTCGTATATGCTGAAATTCAAAAAGAAACCTATTTTCGAATATAACCTTATTCATCGCTAAATATTATAAATCAAAAAAATAATTTACCAAATGAACATCCTGGAGAAAATGATCCATGCAAAAGGAAATATTGCAAAGATGGTTGAAGAACAATCGCAGATTTTGCAGTAATACTTCGCGCAAAAACACCATTTAAAATAATATTATCAGGTGAGAGTATAAGACTAGTCTGAAAATAATTGAATAAGTAATTCAAAACAGCAAACACCGAAACCAAATTTGTAAAAAATAAAACCAAAAGATTCGAAATGTTAAAATTTGAAAAAAAATGATAGGAAGGATAATGCAAAAAAAGGAATAAACTAAGCTGTCAAAAGTTTAGGAATAAAATTAATAATTAAAATTTCTTTGAGAATAAACACACATAAACATACATAATCTTATAGTGAATAATCTCAGAGTGAAATAAAATATGAAATTAAAGTTATGAAACTAAAATTTATATCGCTAATTCATGGATAACCTCCATAGTTGCATAGGAAGAAACACTTCTTTTCAAATGAAACACCAATGATCCATCACCATTACCATTGCTCACTTTTAGACGACCGCTAAGACCAATTTTTTCCGTTGTAGTTAACGGGCATTCTACATTTTGCACAATGGATATGCCTGTTAATTGAGGTGGATACCTTAAAGATAATAAATTTATTAAATAATATACATAGACATAATCATAAACAAATATAACTACTATTTAACGGAAGAAAATATATGGTTATAATCGCCAGCAAACAGAATATTAACTAAACAATGAAAAAACATTCTTATTTTGATTATCACATAAATTGTAGCAGAAATTTCAAAAAAAAAAATTTACATAATAAAATTTCAAATAAAAAATTTACAAAAAATTTAAAAAATATATTCTTTAATTCAAAAAATATAAACCTCTCATCTGAATTTCCAGCGAACAATCCTGCCAATGAAAATTTGCATAGAAAATGCCCCTAAAACAAATTTTATCTCCTCAAATTTACTAAATTGTAGTCAACAAAAATGAAATTGAACTAAACTGCAAAACAAATCAAATATCAGAAAAATTAAAACCTCGAGCAATGAAAAATTTTTCGAAATCTCAAAGAAAAAAATTATTACCGTTGGATGGACTCGCTGAAGCATAATTTCTGTTTCGCGAAGTTTTTGTAGTAGTTCGTATTCCCGACGAATACCATCGGATGAGTTCGAATGTGGCACTAATTGCCAATCATGTAGTTGCAAACCTCTTGCTCCAACTGCATCATAAATCTTTCTCGTATGAGGATCGGATAAAGCTGAAAGTTTATTTTTTCTTTCAAATAAGTGAAGAAAAAAAAGCAAGATTTAGGTTATTTTTTAAATTATTTGAATTTTTCATGAATATAATTTTCGGAAAGAAAGGAATAAAACAATTTAAGATAAATATAATAAATATAAAATATAATAAATATAAAATAAATAAATAAAAAAAAATTTAAAAAGAAGTATTTTTATAATCGACAAAAATACATTTCATCATATAATCGATGATAAGATTCAATTCTAATTGTATTATAAAACAAATGAATCATTTCGATAAAAGATCGTTCTCTAATGATAACTGATCTAATGTTTTTATAGTTTAAGATTTTCATCAACGTTTTCCATTTTATTTTTCTAACATGAGATATCTTCTCCTAAATCCATCTAAAAAGTAAATAAAAGAGTAATTAGTAATTTTTAATAATATAAAAAATCACCGTGAATAAGGATTCATCTCTATCAGATAGCATATTGTTCAAAAAAATCGTATTAAATCATATATAAATGCGGAAAGATAAAATTTCGCCTAAAAAATCTGAGAGAGTAAGGAAAGAGCGTAAGAGCGTTAAAAGAAATATTAAAAACCAATGAAAAAACCCGTCTTCAATGATCAAGAATAATGCCCTTCAAAATCGAAACCACAATAACGATTTAATACCTCCATATGAATTCCTATTCAACTGATGTAGCACTCACCATTTTTTAATTCTTTGGCTCTAACGAAACCCATCTAAAATAGCCTCAGATTCACTGGAAAAATAATTACAGGAATTATAAGATTACAGGAAAATAATTACAGGAATTATAAGATCAAACATCCCATTTTCGCTTTAAATAAAACTTATTCAAATTAACGAAATAGAACCTATAATAGCTAACGTGAGTCGGTAGAATATATCAGAGAATCGAACGTAGTTCTGGTCTAAACTTAATCAAAGTGAACCATGAAAAAATAGTGAAAAATTAACCTAATAAATAGGTAATATCCTGCCCCTGGCTGAGATGATGAATTTGTATTCAAAAAATTCGGGAAGTGCTGACAAACCGTTTCTAGCCAAGTGATTCATTGGCAAAAATTTCTAAATTTATAAGTCAATGGAATGAGCCCAACCACATGTTTGCATTATAATAACACCAAAGTGTTAGAAATGTCGCAAGGGCATTTAACTGGGACAGGAGTTTTTAACAAAGTACAATAGAAATATCAGGAAGAAATGAGAAAGAAAAGAAGACTCCAACACGACAGCCCGAGATTTCACTTTCAGGTCAAAGTTCTATTTTTTCCAAACACCTACGCTTATTAAACAATTATTTTGTTACATAAAAAGCGCTAATAGAATTTTCTTCGAAGCGAATTAAATTCCTTGGTATTTCCGTTAAAACTAGTTATTTTTCTTCAATAATCACTGGAATCATGTTACCATTTCCACATTCGCCAAATCTTCCCTTAGATCCTCTATTTCTATTTTCTCAATATCCTCAGACACGTTGCCCTTGGCGATTGATTGATTTGTTAATTCGCAACCGCAACAACACGTGGTTTAATGGAGACGAATAAAGAAATTTCGAGATTATAAACGATATTAAAGTAGGAAGATATTTAATAAAGCATTTTAGACAAATAGTGCTATTCTTCGTTTGCATGGACAACACCACGATGGTAAATTACAGAATTTTTAACAAAGTACAATAGGGATATCAGGAAGAAATGAGAAAGAAAAGAAGGCTCCAATAAATTAGGTGTGCATTAGAAGACAAGATTATAAATGAAATGCTGATTTTAGCAAAATATTCGCGAGGAAATAGAAATCGATATGAAGAAAAAAAGGATTTTTTACTTCAATAAATTAATTATGAGTTTAATTAATAAAAAAATTAATATAAACACACGATGAAAAGAAAATTCAACATAAAAATTTAGAAATTATAAATATGAAATTGTAAGACAAATGATGAAGTTGAGATTGAAACAGATACTTGTAAAAGCTTTCTTGATCTTCACAAAAATTTTCTCAGCTTCTTTTTTTGCCGTTGAATCAATATGACGATCTGGATGGAAAATTAAACAACTTTGACGATAAGCACGAGTTATTTCTTCTTGCGATGCCTAAAAATAATTAATTTTGAAAATGTTAGCAATTCTATCAATTTTTCATAATGATGAATAATTCATTTACTGAATAATTAAATAAATTCTCAATAGAACTATTTCTATTATAATTTTTATTATAAACAAAAAGATAAAACAAAAAGAAATCTCTCTTATCTCTTCAATTAATCAGAATAGTCGATTGGCTTAAAGATTTAGCAAAAACTAGTCCTTATTTGATTAGAATATCACTAACTAACTAACTCATATTTGAATATTAAGTCGATTCGATAAAAATCATTCATCGATAATAACTCAAAGATGAGTCGAAAATGAGTCGTTGCTCATGCATCATCGCGAAATTTCAAATTCATGATTTATTTTATAAATACAAAATTTTAAAATATTCTATTTAAACAGATCTAATAGATAATCCAAAGAATCAATTTTGAAAATTAAATGAAAATTTATTTCAGTTGTAATCTCTAAGACAATAATCTTCTATATTATTCTTTCAAAGTTGCATTAAATGAGGAATTTTTCAAAAAATTCCCTTTATCTGTTCGCCGTTTTTTTTCTTTTTTTCAAGGAAATATGTCCAAAATATCAAATATATTGTCGATAATATGATAAATATTAAATTATCTGTATAAACTGCAAAGCTCAAAGATCTAAATATCCATTTGGCATTTTCACAAACATAAAAATTCATTTCATAGAGAAAAATGGACTTTGGTGGACTTTTCAATCAGACATAGCAGTCGTCTAGCAAACTGCAGAATCCGGTGGAATCGTGGATTCATTTGAGAGTCTTACGAAAACTAAGAGTTCTACTGATAGTTTGCCGGAAAATTAAAAACTACAGAATTCTCTAAAAATCAGGTGAAAACAACAGATTTATTTCGCAAAAAATCGTGTCGTAAAAATCGAGCGGCTTGGTGGCAATTGCCATAGAATGGCTTGGCTCAATGACCCAACATTTTTTTAATCGGTAATGTCCCAAACGATGAAAGCAAAAGGAGAAAAATGGCTAAAATAGTGAATTGTTGCTTAGTTTGGATGATACTGATGTTCTACACCTCACCATTAGCTCTCACTATTACTGGTTAGGCTGGTTCTGCTGGTCATATGAATAAGATATCTCCAAGCTGCTCGGTCCGACGCCATCGCTAGAAGTAATATAAGCCAACCCTTTTTCCATCGTCTAAGTTCATATATCGCTGGTTCCCCTATATGTTCAAAATCTTTTCTGATTCAGTCCAGGTCTTGATTAGCTCTCTTCGCTTTTAACGCCAACTGTCACACAAGTAGCGAAATATGAGTCAATTCCTGTGGTGGACAACGGAGAACGAGCTCTAACCAGCGAAGGCGACGTTCTGTGGTAACATTATTAATACAGATGGTATTTGAGCGAAGATGCAATCATGTGCAATTTTATCCGCTCGGCGGATCAGTAAAATCCGCACTTTAGACATGAGTGGTCAAAGGCTAATAGCTTTTTAATATCTCCCACTCTCACTGGCCATGTTTTACAGCCATACAGCTAGATCGAATGAACTGCAGCTATGGACGTGAATTTCCGTCTTTATGGTGATTTCGCGACGTTTTACATCCGATAGTAATCGATTCGTCCTTCAAAAACCTGGGTGTTGGTGATCAACCTATTTCTATCTATCGTGGTTCTCTGGCGAAATCTATTTGGCACCGATAAGTCAGTGATCTTATCAGCAGTGATAAGTGTCCTTAGAAAAAAAAGTGTGAAAATTACTGAGTATTCTAAATAGGCAAACCTTTCAACCTTTCCAAGAAAATATATACAAATAAAAAATCTATTAAATTTTCAAATTTAAAAAGTATAAAATTTTAGAAATTTTATGAAGTAATTTTTAAAAAAAATAGCTAACATCGCGTGATATATTAAGGATCGCATAGTAATCAACCTCCTCGCCTTCATTATTTAATAATTCTTCGTCAAAAATCACGGAACTTGTTGATGAATCCGACATAATTCCGCGATAACCCTTTCAAACATGAAGAAAACACCGTAAAAATCCTTCCAATAAATTATGAACTCTTCAAACCATTCCTATCGTAATTACGTTTTCGTTTTGAGACCAACACTAACATTCTCTTACAGCTCTTTATTTGTCTGAAAATATTTTTATCGTTCACGAGCGTCAATTTTTTCTTATAGGACAGTCATTGGAAAAGTGGCGGAGACAATAAATTCTGCAAGCGGCAGAAATGCAAGTTGCCAGCATCATCTGGTCAGTTAGGTTTACCCCATTTACTTCTATCATTCAACAATAACAGTCAAATCATCGTTAGCTTTCAACTCCATGATCTGAAACATGCTATTCACTCCTCTACACTATATACTCTCATATGGATTAGCGTCAAGCATCAAGAAAGCATCATGCACATACATATAGACTCACAAGCATATAATGCGCGAACACTCATATATACAAATATTTGTACATTTACACACACGTGTATACAAGCGAGCATAAAGCGACCATGCATGCATGGATGTGTATTTATACGCACACAACACATAAATATAAGCATGTAAATACTCACATACACACACGCATATACGCACATTCACGTTTTACACGTACTTACACCCACATTTTCTTTTCTTCATGCAAAGAATATATTAATGAATACACGTAAAAAATGAAGTTTTTGCATGCAATCGCTAATTTAACGAAGTAAATCGGAATTTTCATTTTGCTGCAAAAAATTTTCCTCGTGAATTTCAAATGATTAATTTCTTAATCTAAGCAATTGGCATTAATCTTTTTAGCTGATCAAAGAACCGTTGATGGACCGTTGGTTATCTTCTTATTTCTGAATCGTCTTCTTTATTAATTGTATTAAACTCCATTATTTATTTTTCATGTTTATAAAATCCATTGATGTGCATAAGAATTCTTCTCCGTGTCAAAAAGATTTTAGCTAAATTCTATAAATGATTTAAGTACTCCGGTGACTCGGTAGTAAATTAATTGTCACCGAAAATTAAGATTAGATTCGGCCAACGGACCCCACTTTATAATACAATTGTGGACGATAATATCAATTTCATTTAAATGAAAGAAAAAGAATTGATAGGAGAATGTTGCTTATCGAAATGTATTTATTCGATTTAGAGAGGTACCATAAGTCGAACAAATTCACTGAAAGGCTATGGAAGTACTATTTTTGAGGAGAAAAATTATGAAACATTATCTTATTCAGGTAATTTTTAAATGGCGACGATAAAAAAAATGAAAGCGACTTTATTAAAATTAAAAATAGAACTAATTTTAATTTTAAAACAATCAAATATATTTATCACCATGCATAACTTTTGAAATACATATCGACATCTCGTACTGGTGCAATTGTTCCACTTCTTTTAGGCTTATCTTGATTCGCACTACCGCATGAGTGTTTATTCAAAAGTCTATGCCACCATTCACTTTTGTACATAAGCAATACGGATACGATATCCACCTGGAACAAGCATATTTAAAATACTGTAGTTTTATACTGAAATTCCTAAATCAAGCCAATGTAGTTCTCTTTTAAAGGGAATAAGTGAGTTTATAATAGAAAAATCTTAGAAACCTATTCGCACTTCTAATCTCAATTTTCTTTTAGGAGAAGCCAGAACAGTAAGTCGAATTCGTAAAAACGGATTACAAAAGTAAGGTAAGGGAAAATTTTGAAGTGAAATCACCTCAATTGAATAAATCATGAAATACAGAGGTCTCAAAATACTGTTGACTTGATCGCTAATGATAAATTGATATCTCACGGTGCCAATGATAATCCAAACAGTGGATAAAAATGCTACGGATACTATAATTGGATTAAGGATCTCAGCAGCTTTTACGTTTTGCAAATAATAATAACGATTTTTCAATGAATGTTGTAAATTTTGCAGTTGTTTGAGACGATTTTTTTCGTTTATTTTTCGAGCGATTCTCGGTAATAAGGCGAAAATCTATAAAAAAGAAATCGTTCGAAAATAGAAAATATTAAAATATTCGTTGTCTATGTCTAATTATGTCTAAGTACGCGGAAAACTATTAGTCACCGTAGTAGCCTGTTGGTAAGTCTGTGCTGCGACTATCGCAGTGGGTCGGGTCAAATATAGAATCTGAATCAACTGGCATTCCGAATTCACTCTTCCTTGCTGAATATAATAACGCGTTGTAAATGCTCCTAACAAACCCCTTTAATCTTCGTGAAAATTTTATCAGCGAATTGTCTCTTGATCTTGGATCATCCTGGCTGATTTTTTTTTGGTGTTATTTTCATTAGAATAAAGGACCATAGAAAAAGAATGTTTTCCAGAAATTTTGCAATTCCTGTGAATCTTTCGTAGGTATTTGCATAAAATTTCTGGCCAAGTAAGAACTTTCTTTCTTTCTTCAAACACTGGAGGGCTTAAGAGTGAGGGAGGATTCGTACTATGAGTTACGATAAGTACTTGATTTATGATGCGACCGAATAACATCAAAATGAAAATTCTAAAATAACTTGCAATTTTGCAATGTTCCAGTGGAATATAGAAAATATTGGAGAAAATATTTTATTTATTTTTATATTATTTATTGTTTTACAAAATATTGCCAATATAGGAAGATTTAGTATTTTGAGCTTGAGTTTGAGCTTGGCCGACTTCAATTATCACCCTAAGATGTACCCTTACTTAAACTAAGTTACTAAGACTACCACAGTGATTAAAATTAATAGGCTACCACAGTGATTAAAATAGTTATTCAAAATGCAATGATGATATCATTAACATTGTAGTACTAATAATATCCAACTTCTGGCATTTAAATAAATGCTCATTGATAAGTCGAAAATGATTGATATTGTTGATAAATTGGTTCTGGAATAACCACTGAGTAAAGCTTAACAACGAATAAATGAAGAAAAATTAAAAAATTCACCAATCCGCCAAGCAAATATATCGGTGCAAAAATAAGATACGGTAGAGATCGAGCAATGATTCCTTTGATGAACAAATAAAATATCATTAAAGCTACAGCCCACTGAAAAAAATCAGTGGTTATCAGCGGGAAATTCTATTTTATTCTGAGCAGTTTAAATATAAAAATTTTTAAAAAATATCCCTCATCCATTATTATTTTTCTTTCTAAATGAGAAAGCCAAATGCAGGTTTCTCGATAATAAATAAATTTTGAACCTGAAAGACATTTGCTGAAGGAACTTTTACGCAATATTCCTATGGAAAGCCTTAAAAGGTTTTCAAGAATTTGCTTTTTTTTTTTACTTGCAAAATTCACCTGTAGTGCAACCAATATTATGCTAGAATAATTGAAAATAATTGTTTTCAAGCAATTTTTTTTGCCTGAATTTATATTCGAAAAAGTTGAAATAATTCGTTCGACGACAATCGTTGCAATATTAATACATGTTGCATGCTTCGCTAAAATATGGAAAATATATAATTATTTATAATTTTATATAATTTTTGGTTTGAAACCCTTTAAATTATCACAGAATCGTAGGAAAAAGTTTTAATGAATAATGAATGCCAAATTATCGTAGCGAATTTTTCATAAATTTAAATTTTGGGAAAAAATTCTATGCAATTCCTACGACGATCGCCTCTTATTTATTTTGTTTTATTTTAGGTAAGCGAATATTAATGAATTTCTCGCCGATTTTGCTTCTGGTAAAGACAACTCGCTATAGCTTTAATGCCTAATCATTCTTTCTTAAATCCTTCTATGCCAGTTTTTATTTTTCTTCATTCTGATAGTAAATAAATTAGGAAAAAATTTACTATTAAAAAATTTCAAATGGTTGTTCATTTTGTATCTTATAATTATTTGCTATTTAACAATTTGTTTACTTCGAAGATTTTATTAATTAATTTTTCTACAAGTATCGTAGTTGAATAGAGTAGATTAATTAATAGATAAACTTACTTATGGTTACAAGATAATCAGCAGTAAAATCAGGTGGCGGTTGATAAGGATCGTAGAACCATAATTCGAAAATCAACTTTGTTAGTCTTGAAACATGATAAAATAAATAAGTGAATGCAGTATTGACCATGATAATCACTAGATTTCGAGAAAATGACTATAAAAATTTTCGATTATAAAATATGCAAAAAAAATCTTTTCCCTTAGAAAATTTTAGATCATTTGGTAGAAGTTTATTATTACTATTATTTTCTGTCTAGCGATTAGCCGATTTATCATTTCTGGTTGGACGACTTACACCACTGGTTAGTAGCCACTTTGAGTGATATTTTATTTTTAGTGATAAAGCCATAAACATCATTCAGCCATGTTTTTTTTTAGATGGCTATGGATTTAACATATTTCAGTAATCGGTAGTAATTGTCTATTATATAACACGACAAAACGAAAATAAACGAAAGAAAGTAAAGAAAGAAAGAAAGTAAAAGTAAGAAACTCTAAAAATTTTTTGATAAAGTTCTAATTAAGCCGACTTTTTGATAAAATTTTTAAAGTTTACCATGAAAATTATTCGATAAATTGAAAATTACCTTCTCTTTAATCAATGTAATACAAAAAACAGATATGAAAAGATAGGATGTTACGTTGAAAAATAATTCAATATACGATAATGATATTGATAAAGGAGTTGTATAACCGTTTGTGTAACCAATTTCAGCCATTTTTTTTTCGCTTTCTTGATTTTACTTTCTAAAATTTCCTTAAAAAAAAATATTTTTTTCATGATTTCATTTAAAATATGACGAAATTTCAACAAATTGCGAATAGTATAATAAAAAAGACAAAATGCAATTCTACTTTAATTCAAAGAGTTTTTTTTTAATTTTTAAGGATGAGAGAAATTTTAGAAATAGAAGGGGGGGGGATAATAAAAATTTGAGTTGATAAGCGTGTGGAGCGATTAGACGACGGTCTTTCGTAACTCTTACGTAAACCTAGTTTTCATGATATAAATTCATTTTCGATTCATAAGAAATAAGCTTATAGATTAAAGCCGGAAATAATTCTAACAAAAATTATTCAGTAATCGAAGTAATGGAAAAAAGCACAAATATATAAGTTATAATATTTTATTGAGTATTTTACTTAATAATAAAATTCAGATGAAAAGAATTGTTAATTATTATATGTATTTAATTATATGGATTCACATGTAATTAATGAAAATTTTTATGAATTTTTATTCAAATATTTGTATTTAAATATAAAAATTTGTTGCCTTATCTTTCTTTATATTTCACTTTGAATTAAAATTAATTTTATTTGATTTTGAAAATTCTGTTTTTTGCTTGAAAATAATATTAATATTTTAATATTAATATTATTAATATCTTTAATATTTCTCAATAAAATAAAAATTATTATTTTTCCCAAAAAAATTTTTTTTGAATTTTTTAAGCAATCACGATTACTGGTTAAACTCGCTTGTCTGGCTTATTGCATTAGTCAAATATGCTAGGAAATCCGCTGATGCGTTAAGAGTACAAGTGAATTGGCAATATAGCCAGAATTTTTGGGCAGATTTATTTTCGTCACGGGTAGAACTTCATTATCGACGCTTCAAATTGGAAAACAGCCTATTGAATATTTTACTTTCTTAGTTATCGCTCGACGAAAAAAAGCTGTGTGTCAGCGGATTTGAATCCATGCCTCGATTCTTGGTCAATTACCTTTCTACTGAACCTTTTACCTTTTCTTATTTAAAGTACTTTTTTCTTCCTCTTTTAACAACACTCACCATCTCACCATTTTAATTAGCAAAATTATATAGGTGAGAGAGGAAAGAAGAGGGATAGGTAAATCTTATTAAGGTTCAGGAAACCAATTTATACTACATTAGCCGAAAGAATCCTTACCCTTGCAGCCACAATTTAACCAGCAATGATAAGAATTGTTAGAATTTATGCAAGAATTTTTTAAGAAAAGAATTAACTAAAATAAAGAGATTATCGCTCCACAACAGATTTTGGAAACCTAATAGCACATTGCATATTTGAGATTCTAAAGTGAAAAATCCTTTCGAAATTAATTAAAAAATCTCTCTTTTAAAACTATTTTTTAAAAAAAGAGGATATTATTTATAATTAAAATATAATTATATATTTACATAAAATATTTATTAAAATAGATATTATTTATAAAAAAAAAGAAAAATTAGTAGAGAAAATATGCGATTCGAAACTATTAATAAAAATTCTAATTTATAAAATTTTTTCGCATTTTTTATTTTTAAAAAAATAAACGATATTATTTTTGGCGCAAATAGAGCATTTTTTTAAATTATAAAGATAAAAAAATTTTTTATGAGATTTATTTCGAAAATTTTCGTAAAATTTATAGAAAAGCAACAATGAGATATTCTCGAATTACTTAATTAACTCACATTTTTCATTTTATAAGCCAATAATTGGCCAGTTAAAGATATCTGAAATGGCACTGAAAATTCATTTATTTTTCTATTTCAAGTGGTTTTCTATAAATTAGGATATCGTTTAAATTAGCAATAAAATCAATCGAGCGATAAATAATGAGTGACATTAGAGGAGAAAAAATTTTTAAAAATATAAGAGTATTTTCAAAAATATGGAAAAATAGGATTTATATTTTTTCTTACAAACGATATTAATAATTATAATGATAAAAATAATAATAATAAATAAAAAATAGCATTAAACAAGCCATATTAATATATATATATGTATATATATATATATATTGCATAAATATTTGCAACTGTGCTTGCAAGAGTTCATAATGAGTAAGGCAATTAACTTCTCGAATTTTATTTTATTATATTATAATACATTTCATATAATTAAAAATCTTGTTATTATAAATTTGATCATTATTGCTTTATGCGCTATGAAATATCATAATAATCATGCGTAAAATTTGTCTCTTTGTTATTATATAAAATATAAAAAATATTTTTTACATTCCACTTCACCAATCTTGATAATTTGTTTTTTTTCTATTTTATTAATTTTATAAATAAATTTTGTAAAATTTAAAATTCATTCAAAAACAAATTATCGAATTATTTGGCGATATAAAATATAGATGGAATGGTTTTTTTTACAGAACAAATTCACTCCTAATGAAAATAGAAATCCAATATTGATGCCTAGAAATGAGAGCAAAAAACAACTGAGCTATTATTTTATTTCCTAAATGAATTAAGCAAAAAAAAAAAATTTCTTTTATTTTTAATTGAATATTTGCTTAATTACACATATTTTTCCGATTCATTTATACTTATTTCCAACAGAAATTTACAAGACAAGAAATTTTGATGTTATTTTTACTATTCGACTACTGGTAAATGCCTTGTAGCTGAAAAAAAAGAAAGTAAAATATTAATATTATTTTTATTTAAGAAAAATATCATTTGAGAAAATATTTAATATACAAATAATGATTGATTGATGCTTGAGATTCAACTGAATTTCCATCGCCGAATGATTTCATGTGAAAATCTGCATGATTCGACGCGAATCTATTCAGCTTATCATGAGCGATTGAAATGAATTGGTTAAATCTCTTAACAAGATTTAAAATAACTTATTCAGTTCTTTGTTAAAATGTGATAAAAAAAATGAAATTTGTCAACTTTTTTTTAAAAAAAATATCGTATTCGTGACAATAAATTAAAAAGAAAAAAAATGTTCTTTTATGCAAAGTATTCATTTTTTATTCATTTCTTTGTCACTTTTAAAATTTTTTTTATTAAAATTTTAAAATTTACAAACTAAATTATATTTATTATTTTTTAAATTTCTTTCAAAAATCATTTTTTATAAGATTAAATTATTAAATTATTTCTTTATTAATAAATAAAAATTCATTAACAAATAAGTGCTATTGTTTTTTTTTTAATAAAATGAATAAAATAATAAAGAAAATCTTAATGATAACAATAAATATTACATCGAAAAAGTCGTAATTTTGCGAATAATTTAGAGGCTTATTCGAAAGAGTCTTAAAAGGATTTGCTACGCTATTGTTTATATCCTAGATATCCTGGATATTCCATGCTTTAAATATTATAGCCAAAATTATAATCATCATTCGTAGGAACCAAATAAGTGAATATAGACATGCCCTCAACCTGGTAATTTTGCATTGCGAATTTCTCTGAAGAAAATCTTTAGAAATGTTTGTTCTAAAACTTTCATAATTAGCGGTTATAACATATAGTTAAGTTAAATATAAAAGCTTTTAGATTCGTTATTTTTCTATACGCCTGCACAATTATACTTCTCTAAAAAGATGTTAAAAAACGGAAAAAAAATATATGTATTCAAATTTCTACAAATTTATGAATAGTTCCAACGAAGTTCGACCTAAATTGTAAATGTGATAATGTCAGACAACCAATAAGTACAGTGGAATGATAGCGTATACACTACAGGATAAGTACCACATATACATACAATAACTCGTATACTCGTATCATGCAACTACTACTCGAGAAAATATTACGAAGTGAATTGGAAATATTCTGGAAATGTCTGGCAAAGTTAATATTGCATGAATATTTAGAAGTTTTTTAACAAATTTAGCAAAATTTCAAATCAATTAAAACATGTCGTTGACATGAATATGCCTGTCGACAACAATGCTAATATTAACGGCTAATATAAAAATTTTTTTCTTCAGTTGTTAGACGGAAATGCTTGGAAAAATCTCATCATTATAGCCAACGAAGCCAATGTAAGCAGTAAGGTTGCTAAAAAACAATTCTTTGATTAGTAGAACCATTCCAGAAGTTTCTTTAATAAATCTTAGCAGATCTGGTTTGGTATTTAGTATGTATCAAAGTATTGCTCTAAACCCTCTCGAAATTCGAGTGGTTGTATTCCAAATATTTAATTTGTAATAATTTAAATATATAATAAATATAATAATAAATATTATATAATAAATATAATTTAAATATATAATAAATATTATAATATTATAAAATATATTGTAATATTATAAAATAATATGATATAATTTTTTATTTATGATAATTTTTATTATTATTTTTGCCAATATTTTAAAAAAAAAGTTCATTACTGTCTGTTAGACTCGCCCTACTGGTTTATCGAACTAGATAAATATGCCCTTTCGCGATAAAAATGCAGATGAATAGCCAATGAATAGCCATTCGGATTCTTGAAGGGCAGAGTAAAACCTCAGTATCAGCGCTTGAACAACAACTTAGTGAGCCATTCTATTTTTTTTGCTTTCGCCTCTAAACGACACTGCAACAAAAAAAGTGGTCGTGCATCGACTGGATTCGAGCCTCGATTCTGGATAACAGTTATAATACTATTGAGACATTCGCTTACCAAAGTCCATCTATGGTCAAAGGCTGATAGTTTCTTCCATTGGCCATGTCTCGCAGCCATATAACAAGATTGAACGAATCGCGATTATATAGGTGCGGACTATCGTTTTAATGGTAATTTCACGATTGCTGCATGAAGGTAATCAACCGGAAGAATGCATTTCTAGCTGCCGTAATCCGAGTTATAATATCGTCTTTTGTCTGGCCATTTGGTATTAGAGTGGACCCAAGGTATTTAAAAATGGGGAACTTCTTCAATCGGTAATGAATTTATAAAAAGAAGCATTTTATCTTCTTCTTCTTTTATATAAGATTCCTATGCATAAG